CATTAAACACATTAACTATATCATTGACATCTGCTGAATCCTGCCATAAAACACTCCAGTCAATCGTCTCTAATTCCTTAATTTAAGCTTCATAATCAGTTTTAATAAAGTTGTATGTCGGCTCCTGTTTTGACTTTAGTATGCTTTGGAAGTGTTTTTGGAAATCTATTTCAATCGCAGGGTGATGTTCATCTAATGAAATCAATGGTATATTAGCTTTCTGCACCGAAACTCATGCGCTATTATTTGATAATATCAAATCGAAAATTCGGTTATTTTTATTTAACATATTATTGCATTGGTTCAAACTGAGCATCCAGAAATAAGTTCTCCAAATTACCATTAGCTGTCGGTACTAATTTATTGTCATTGCCAGTATGCCATGATATCTTATTTAAATTAAAATCTCCGACAATAAGAAATGTATTGCCAACATCAACATGCATTACATTAGTTAAACTGTCCAAATAAGTTGTGACGTAATCCTCATTTAAGGGGGGTGGAAAGTAAACAGTACCTATATTAATATACTTGTTGCCGAATTTTAAGGACAATCACATATCTTCACACGTAGATTCCCAACCGTTTTTTCTATAAACTTGATACTTTTTCAAAACCGCTATTAACACTCCCCCGCCATCTTTTTTAGTTTTATGAGATGAAGTTGTATACCTATCACGTCTGAAAATATGGTAGCGATTATCCGGCAACTCATGATCAAAAACTGTATCATTTAACCAAGATTCAGTTAAAATAATAAAATCGTAATTATTTGATAAAACAGAAACATATATGTCCTCAGTTTTAGTTCGGAGGCCCCTTACATTCTGATAATATATACTGATTTTGAATTTGAATGATTTAAAAAAAACTTATAAACATGCAATATTTATATAATATAAAAGTAAAATATTATAACGAGCTTAAACAACCTAGATCTTTAATTAATTTAGGAGGTGACTTGATATCTTTACGTACAAAAATATGCCCATTACGGACCCAAACAAACTGATAATTTTTCTGTTTAGCAGTTATCCTTGTAGCCGCATGAAGTTTCTTGTTCGTTGGCGACAGATGCTCTTGTACAAATATGGGCTGCTTTTTCCCAGCGAGTCCTAAATGAGACTGGTAGGAAACTGTTTTTCCAATTTGACGTATTATTGAAATTAAATTCTCAGATTTGTGTTCGAGTACGAATTGGATCTCCAAGTTTGAATCCCGGCTGTATTGTTCCAAAGCAGTCATTTTAGTAGTTATATCCGATACCTCTTATTGTAATTTTACATTTTCCGCAAGTAGCTTAGTAATTTTACTGCTATTTTCATCATTTAACTTTACTTGCTCATCATGAAAATCGGAAAAAATTTATAAAGAATTAATTACTTCATCTAGCTCCGTGCGCATAAGTGAGAATTTAGTGCCGAGTTCCTTAATATCTTGTCGCATATTTGTTAACGTGACATTAGAATCGTTTAAAGATGATTGCTGTTCTTTCTTTAACTTTATATTCATGTCGGCGCGCAGGCTACGAATTTCAGCAATGATAGGGTCATAATTAGAAGTCTCAGTTGGTGGTGTTGAATTTGGAGTGATTGTATCTTTTTGTTTTCGATATTGTGTAGTGACCGGTGTATTTGTATTTTCGCCTTTTTTACGATTCATAATACATACAGGACAAATACATGAGGAAGGTGAAACAACCTCGGTATAATCAACACATTCATTATGATATATGCGATGACAACTAACATTGCAATATGTTATTCGTTTTCGCGTAACGAGCACGTTTGACTTACACCCAGAACACTTGGTCATCTTAAATTTGCCTTAATTATCTGTATAAATATCTTTTATTTAACTAATAATTCAAAATAAAATAAACGAATCTTCACCCATAAAAAAATATATGTGAAAAACAATTTTAAAAACTTTCCTCTCTCGGCTGGTTCCGATCCCGCAACTCATGGATAATTAACCCGACATTATAGCCTCTTAGTTACGCTTATTGCTTAATTTTTTGTGAAATTTGCAGTTTAATCTAGCTTACATTATATATGGACACTAAATTTAGTTTGATATTTTGCAGATGCAGGTAATATAACACAAAGTTCTATCATAACATTTATCATTTTTTTTATAGAAGAGAGGGCAAACGAGCATGCGGCTCACCTGATGGTAAGTGACTACCGCCGCCCATGAACAACCGCAACACCAGGGGAATTGCAGATGCGTTGCCGGCCTTTTAGAAAGGTGTAAGCTCTTTTCTTGAAGGTTCCTAAGTCGTATCAGTCCGGAAAATTCGCTGGTGGTAATTGATTCCACATGGAAGTTGTGCGAGGGAGAAAACTTCTTCTAAATCGCACAGTGGTGGACCGCCAATCATCCAGATGGTGCGGATGGTATCGAGAGTTCTGCCGCGATATGCGTTCGTGAAATTTGGCGGCTGGGATTAATCCGAACAATTCCTCAGAGCACTCCCCATGGTAGATGCGAAAGAAAATGCTAAGAGATGCAACATCTCTACGCAGTGCCAGTGTATCGAGCCGATCAGAAAGAACTCGGTCGTCGACGATTCGAACCGCTCTGCGCTGGATGCAGTCAAGTGGAAGGAGCTGGCACTGGGGTGCCCCGGCCCAGAGATGAGAACAGTATTCCATGTGGGGCCGAACTTGCGCTTTGTAAAGTTGCAAGCGATGTGCCGGCATGAAGTACTGTCTCGCTCTGCTGAGTACGCCAAGCTTTTTAGAGGCCAATTTGGCCTTCCCTTCCAAGTGACCACGAAACTGCACACTATTCGATATGTCGACGCCAAGGATTCCGATACTAGCTGAGGTAGCAAGGGGAGTGCTTTGACACTGAGGAGATACGACAAAGGGGTTTTTTTAGCGGTAAACGCGCAAACTTGTGTCTTCTGGGGATTGAACTGGACTAGATTTAGTCGCCCCCAATCCGAGACTTTGTTAAGCAAAGACTCGACTTCAGACACAAGTTTGTCCCGGTACTCAGCGACGTTTTCCCGAGAAATATTGGCACTTATTCACCATTTTGTCACCATTTTTTGTTAAAAATTATCACATAAGAATGATTACACATTGAGCACAAAATATGTTGGAAGTAAATAGTTAAAACATACACTAATGTATTTTATATTTAGCTGAGAACTTGCAGCTGATATAGTACGTCTTATTACGTAAGTACCCTCCCGTTGATGGGAAATCGGAGTGTAACAAGTAATGCGCAAAAAAAATTTCTCTTCGATATATTTACTAAATTATCATTGCACTAATTTGCAGGTGTTAGACGGGGGTAATTATGGAAAACAAATGACTCATAACATAACAATGTCGCAGCAGCCTTTGTACACCGCACCCCCGCCGTGTACCTGCCTTCGATGATTCATTTGTTGTTATCATCGATAATGGCGTTGCGCCCGCGCAACATGCTCACTGCCCTAGCTGGGTTGAGGCCGAGCGATGATTTATGACCCCAACTGCACGGACAAAATAATTTTACTATAGTATTATGCATATTAGGATGTGATAGAAACATCGATAATGACATTGGTGTTGACATCGATAGCTCAACATAGATGTTCGATGTTTATCCTAGTCAAAACATCGATGTTGGCCATTATCGATGTTTTTGCACATGTATTTAATAGGTTACAATTAGATGAATGAAAAATTGTTATGTTGTTTATGGGTTATAATTAATGAAATAAAAGAAAATAATAAACTATGTAGCGCAAAAGAGTGATAAAAAAAATTGGAAGAAATTCACAAATATCTAGTTCATTTGATATATTATAGTCCAATATTTTTGCCGATTGATTGAAAAAATAGTAAATTTGACAAAGAAGTACCGTTCAATCTCTTTCTTTGTCGATAAAGAGCTGAGCCAGCTATTGAAAATAATTTTAAAAAAAATTGTATAACTCAATATAAAAACTATTGGTCAGATTTATATGGGTCAAATTTACATGGGACAGAAATAGAATCATGGAAATTGGTCCAAAAAAGTTAAAAATCGAAAAAGTTATGAGGTGACACACATTAAAAAAAACATATTGAATTGAGTACCTCCTCCTTTTTGAAGTCGGTAGATAACCGCTCAAATTGCGTTGGTGTAGCGATTGTGGTCAAATATCTCACCGCAGGTATTTTTTTAATTTTAGATAGGTAGAACCAATAACATTGTTCTAAACGTGCTTTGAACCGTGTTTAAGATCAACCATCGGATTTCTTTAAAAACAACCGACAAAGTTACAGACAACCAACAACGACACCAATAACAAAACGAAATCAGTGACGACTGCGACGTTACAGTTGACACTTAACAGTTAAATTTGATACACCATAATGATATTTTTTTAGTTTATCGATGCGTTCAAGCATTCAGAATTATTTCAAAGTTTTTAATATTTTAGAGGAGATGCAAGATTTAGTTGATATTGATTTCACGGGTTCGCAGTGTTCGCAAGTGTCCAATAATTGACTATCGGTTTATTGATTTTAAAACATCGATGTTTTCATTTTTGACATCGATGATCATCAAACATCCCTAAGGCATGTACATGTGGATACGACGCGGCGTACAAAGTGCTTTGGTGTTGACATAAATCTTAACTTTCATTTCACTTAGGCGCTTCGATGTACTATCATTATCAACAGTCCGCTAGAAGCTGTCGTAATAATCTCCATAAAACTTCACAATGTGAAGCATCAACATCATGTGAATTTTGTGAACAAAATACATGTCAGAATTAACTGTATGGGCAGGCACCTAATCCATTTGCCTTTAAAATTAAAAAAAAAATGTCACTGTCATTGTCATTTGTCATTGTATTGTCATTTCCTAGCAAGCAAGAAAACGCACGTGTTGTTGTCTTTTCTTGTTGTGCATGGTTGTGGTCTAGTGCCATATGACCGGCACTGAAATATATAAAATTGCATTCATTACGCATTATTATGATATTTTGCAGTTCATAACGGAATGAGAAAATGTGTGATAAAATAATTTTAGCCGTTAGAAGAATTGAAGAAGTTACGAAAAATCAAGATTTAGCCAAAACATGTCAACATGTTCGGGTTAGTGTGTATTCAATTTTAATATTTAATGTATTATGTGATACTTATTAAGAAATATTTAAGATTTAAGTGAATTTAAATACTGTTTATTTCCGTTTTATCAAATAAAGCATTTATAATAGTTTATTAAATTAAAATTACTTTTCAGGATTCACTGAGAAGAAAGTCTATTAAAATTGAAGAAGCTCTGGATATTTTGTCCGAATACATTTTAAACTTTGAAGATGCAACATTGTTCAGGCAACATCTACCAAACCTACTTTTAGCTTTGGTATCTAATAGGATACCCTTAAAACCAGTTTTTTCAAATTATGACTTTGATATTTGTAATGATTCTGAAAAAACAAACCACTTAGAATTTTCCATTGTGTTGGCGATTTTATGTGATCACCCTGATATACTTCAGTAAGTTTCATAAAGTAATATCTGGCTTTATATATTGTAACACTAGGTACTCACCAACCGAATGAACGCAAGTGTAAGCTTATCAAACACGCATGAATGAGTCTAGGTAATTCAATGCAAGCAAACTAATTTGTACTGAACCCTTTGGTTTTGCTTCTCTTTGTGTTGGGATATCAAAGAAATTGGAATCAGCACATGGCACTACACTCAACACTGGCAAAAGTACATTAGAGCAGAGTTTACATCACCTTCTCTTTTATAAGTCATCTATCAGCTTGATTACACTATATATTGCTCTGCTTTTATATAATGATGTCACTCACAAACTCCATAAATTATATTAATGTATTGCAAGTTAACCTTTTTGTGGCAGTGTAAGAATATCCACTACCCAATATCATTCTGTGGGTGTCATAAGAGGCGACAGAGGGAAACAAAACTAGAGATGGGCATAAGCATCTTCCTGATAACAATTCAAAATTTAAAAAAAAAACATAATATAAAATTAAAAAATTTGTACAGCCGACTTCAACATAAGTTATTTAGCATAACTCAAATACTATTGGTCTGACCTTGATCAAATTCATATGGGACCACACAAGAAGTACCAGCTTTCAAGTAAAAAAAGAATCATTGAAATCGGTTCAACCAGTAAAAAGTTATGAGGTAACACACATAAAAAAAAAGCATACAGTTGAATTGAGTACCATCTCCTTTTTGAAGTCGGCAGAAAATAAACTGGCCAACATGCCTGCTAAAGGTGGCATCTGTGGCAAACGTGAAAAAACTTTGGTCCTACGAGGCAATCTATGGGGGAGGGCTATGTACAGTAGTGGGCTTTTGATAGGCTGTAATAATGACAGTGAGTTAATGTTGGTCTGTTATTTGGCACTTCCCACCAAAACATGGACAGTGACATAGCTCTTGATAGATATTTTAGGTGAATTGTACATTATTTGATTGCTCAGATAATGCATAGACTTCTTGGTTGATATGAAATTTGTGATATCATATGAGTATCTTCCCATCTTTAGTGACCACTGATGACCAGGATTAATATAGTGTTATTGAACCAAGTATGTTTACTTATATTTTGTTTTTAATTTGGATTGACTATAAATATCTTTGTACCACAATATCCTCTGCAGTCTTAAGTTACAACATAGAAACAAAGTGAGAAAATGTGTTGGGTTAATTATCTCTGAATCAGTTTTAGGAATTATTTTGTTAAATAATTTTTCAAAACTTTAAATGTGTTGTTTGTGTTAAATTTTAATTGTATTATTGTACATATTAAATTTAACATAAAATGTTTTGATAGTACTTATTAAATTAATAAGAATATATTAATCTGGTTACTAGATTGATAGATTCAATCATATTTTCATAGTACTTTATTACCTCAATATAAATCCTTATCTAAATTTTTGTATAGTTTATTCTAACAAAATCTTACATATTAAATTTTGTGTTATTGCAGATATGCTCTCAAATACTTTCAAATTAATCCAGTGCCACCATTTGAAGTTTTTATACATCATGAAGATTCTTATAATGTGGCACCAAAGAAACGTCGACTTTTAGACTGTCGTCAAAAGATAACAGATTACCGTCTAGTTACTTGCTGTTACACATTACTTTCCAAACTGCCTAATGAATTCTCCACAAAATGGGATTGGACAAACTTTATTATCAATTTTTGTCACCATGAAAATGCTGAAATAAGATGGTAATCTTTTCACAATTTTACTGTAGGTCCTTAAATGTGTACTGCTGATCATAGGCCTCTCCTGTTGCAGACACCAAGTACTTGTTTTAATTTTCATGTTGTCTGTCTAATCAAATTCTGGCCAAACTAACAACTTCAGAATAGTCATATGCTGAAGATGTTATAGAACCACAAGTGTGCTTGCCACCTATTCTGTGAATGCTACAAGGAGAATCTTAAGAGATCTTAAAAATAAAATGTAAGAGACCTCCAAGTTGCAAGATTGTAGTTAAGTTAGGATGCAGTATCAAAGACATGGCAGAGTCACAACATCACCATGCTAAAATTAACAATTTTCCAAACATAATGGTTGAGGAAAATAACTAACTAGTATGGTGGTATCTGTGCTACTGTAATTGCTGATCTGTCTGTGAAGTGTGGCATTCTTTCTGAATTTTCTGTACTATGAGAGAGGACTAGGCCCAGCAGTATACTATTTACAGTCTGATGGAGATGAAAAAATATATTTAAGAATTCTTTTCATATTTTTATTCTATTTTTAAAATAATGATAAATAATATTTTATTGCAAATAATTTTTTCAGGATGGTAAAAGAATGCATGGTTATATTAACAAATATGACTGAAGCTCAATCAAAAATATTAACTGAAAACCTTAGAATATCTGAGCAAGAGAATTTAAATTATCATCATATAAGTGAAATTGATGTGGCACAGACAATCGAAGATAATTTCGAAGATACAAATTTAAATACAAGTAATGTTGTTATTGTAGATGGCATTATGTTACCAATTTATGAAAAAAATAATGTACAAAAAAGTGGTCTAGTTCCTGTTAAATCTACAATAAATAATTTGAGGAGCTTGGCTTTGGCTGTTGCCTCAGGTAAATATAGTTACATGCTTCTTTTTAAATTTTTATATTACAAAAGTTGGTTAAAGTTTATGTTGTAAAACTAATGTACGCATTGGTTTCACAGTCACAAAGTAAGTTGCATTGCATTATATTTGCTTGTGCTCTTTCTAAAGGACTCATGGAAACATTTATCTTTGTACCACATGTTTTGATAAAAAAGTTATACATCTATGGTGCCAAAGAAACACATTAACAAGCTAAACTATACTCAAAATATAAAAAGTAATAGTAGTTACTTCCATAAGGAAGTGTTTTAAGGATGCTGTTCATTACTTATTTAAATGATCTAATTAATGATAGAACTTCACTTGTGCTCAGTTTGTTTATAACAATGCAATTCTATTTACTGGGCAAAATAGTGCAAACTCTGTAATTTTTTTTTGGATATAATATAGAATTGTATTTTATTTAAACCCAACCTTTCGCCCCACAAAACAAAATTTATCTTATCAATAAATACGAATTTCCATGTATTTTATTGCTTTTAATTTCCAAAAACAAAGTATAGAATTATTATATTCAAAATGTTGTATTTGCTTAAATATATGGAGGTGAACGTATCTATATATGAGGTATGTATAAAAATGTGAATAATTTGTACCTATCAGTACCTACTAACAATTTTTGAATGTTACTATCTCAAACCAACAGAGAAAGACAGATAGGGCATTGTATACATTTCAAGTGATGATGAAAACATGCTCAATGCAGAAACGCAGTCAGTCACACATCTTTCTTCTTTCTTTATCAGCCATTAAAAGTTCACTGCTGGATGCATTCATATAGACCAAAAGTATGTTGTTGGTAGTGAAAGAGTTTATATGTGTATGTGAGTGAGTGTTCTTGCAATAATTTGACCATGGTTTTGGCTTGGCTTTTGCATCACTTGAATTGCAGGCACCACTCCGTCTTTCTTTGTTGGTCTGAGATTTTATTTGTAACTGAAATGATTATTATCTATTGGTAAAATATAGTGCCGATCATAGAATGTAAATATCTCGTATATGGACCCTTGTATACAAATACAGAAACTTTTATTTGGATTATATAACTGACGATTAGATTTGCGGCGCTGAGACCACGCGGATTCGAATCTCGGAACCACGGAACAAGTGTTTGTATGTAAATAACTGTTCGGGGTCTAGAGGTATTTTATTCTTTAATTTTTTTTTGGGATTTTTGTCAAAATGGCATGTCCTACTTCAATTTATGTTTGTAAACTGCCTCCACTATATAGGAGGAAATCCTAGTGTGGGGGACACGGTTTATAAAAAATATATCTAAAAAGCAATAATAATTATTCATAGAAACATTTATCAATCAATACAATAATACACTAAGCGCACAATGCATGTAACAAGCAACCTTTACAGTTGACCTTAGGACATTTCTGAACTCTAGCAGGATGACAATATATATATTGATATATTTATAAGTTATTTTAAAAGATGTTATTTTCATTAAGCCTATAACATATATTTATCTGTCCACTTATTACAGTAAATTTAAATGTGGGTATTGTCTTATACTGTGCCTAGCTCTATGTAAAACATGCTAATCTAATTACTGTACATCTAGTACATAACATGTATTGTGAAATTAATATTTTTATATACATGTAAAAACTTCATTTTCTGTGGTATTTTAGGTAAAGCAATCTCTCTAATGGGCCCTGTAGGATCGGGAAAAACTTCTCTTGTAGAACACTTAGCTGCTATCACTGGTCGTAAGGGTGTGGCCTTCAAAAAGGTTCAGTTGGGTGACCAAACTGACTCCCGAATGTTACTAGGTTCCCATCAGTGTACCGATGTACCTGGTGAATTTGTATGGAGCCCTGGTGTACTCACAGAGGTATGTTCATTTTAATGGTTTTGGTAAATTAAATAATAATTTAAGTTTATAAATTTTATGAAATTTGTACTGCTAAGGGAGTAATAAGTATCAGATATTACATATTATAATGTACATAAATACATGCATCTTTTATACTCTCACCAGTTTACATCTAGATACATATAAACAAAATTGAAGTGTCCGTCTTTAATATTGAAATAACTGGCTTCTATTAAACTTGGTAAAAGTTTTGTGTCTGACTGGGCTAATTTTTGAAAAGGCTGAATTGATTAGAATGATGATGATATTTTACGATATCAGATAGAGAGAAATTCCTGGAGGGATATAGGCTATATTTAACACTTTTTTTAAATAAAATTAAAAACTGGAAAAATAAATGGTGTTTGACTAACTGAAATCTAAAGAACACCACTTTAAAATAAATAAATAATAAATATATTCATAAGAAATATGGTACAAAGATGTTTGTATGAAATAATAAATACGTATATGTGGTAGAGCCATGCTGCAGCTATATTAGTAGTATCGACCTGGGAAGAACCACGCTCTCACAGAATACCAGCGTAAAATAGCAGCTTGACACTGATGTGTTTAGTATAGTGAGTGTAGAGAAAACCGGAGACCCATTTTACTGGAAGAAAGGCATTCCATCTTAGTCCTCACGGGTGACGACGCATCTGCATTTTGATTCTTTATTGAGGATAAATGTAGATGTCTATGGGCCGCAGCAACCACTTACCATCAGGTGGACTGTGTGCTCGTTTGTCACCCTATCCTATAAAAAAAATAAAGTATCACATATTTCACCAATTTTGGTACATAAAACTTATGATTAGAAAACACAATATATTTAAGTAAAATTAAACGTGCATCAGTTTACAATTTTGATATTAACAATTTAAAACACGACCAAAGAAGAAAAAGCGTTTTAACAGTCACTAGAAACATTCTTTTATTTTTAGCAGTTCATTTACCGAATAAAATTGTTTTTCCAAAAGCCACTTTAATAAATTACGTCTAAATCGATTATAATCTAATTGCCTTATTTCATTTGGGATTTTGTTAAACACTTGATTAGCCATCACATAACAATTTTTTGAGTACAGACTAGTTTTTAATGAAGGCAAATTATTTTTTTCGGGGTATCTGGTACTATATTTCACTGTATGTTTTAATTTAGTAAAAAAATGAGGATACTTTTTTACGAATATTGAAAGCTCAAAAATGTACATGGATGGCAGAGTAAGAACACCTAATTCTTTAAATAGTGGTTTGTAAGAAACAAGTAGCCCGACGCCACAGATTGCTCGTATACAGTGTTTTTGCGCTATAAAAGCACGGTTCATATCTGTCGAGTTTCCCCATAATATGAGACCATATCTTAATACAGCAGCAACATATGCATGACATGCTATAAGAGAAGTGTTTCTTGACGAGATTGAAGCTAGTCTACGTAAAGCAAAATTAAATTTAAATATTTTAGAACAAACTTTATCAACATGATCTTTCCAATTACAGTGTTTGTCTAAATTTATACCTAAAAATGTGGTACATTCAGTGGCAGTAATTTTTTCATCATTATACTTCATGTCAAGTAATTGCGGTTTACTATTGACATTGTAGAATTGCATAAATTTAGTTTTAGATTATTGTTGTTAATCCATTCAACAACATTGTCAATTGTATTATTTATTTCATTTTCACATTCTTTATTACAACTAGAAATAAAATTTATTTTTGGTATTAATATAGAAATGTCGTCAGCAAATAATATTGTGTTATATTTAATGTAATTTGGTAGATCATTAATGTAAATTAAAAAAAGTAAAGGACCCAAAACACTCCCTTGCGGCACTCAGTAATCATTTTGTAAGTATGAAGATTGAAATTTAAAATTTCCTGCCGTTTTTTATCTTTTTCTTGTATTTCAACACATTGTTTCTTTAAAGATTTTATCCAGGCCAAGTCGGGGTGGGTCACTAATTTCAAATAAATAAAACAATAATTGCTAAATACAGATCGCAAAGTATTTTCCCTTTTTCGTCATGAGTAACAGTGCACTGATGGTTATAGAAGGATTTGAGATAGTATAGGTACCATGCTAGCGAGATGCCGCGAGGCTGAGCTTTCGCTGCTTCTCTTTGTCGGCCCGTTCCCCTTCGTTGGTGTAGTGTTCGTAAATGCGACTGTTGATCATTAGGTACCGAGTTCGGATTCCGGATCGGGCCAAAAAAAATAAGTTATTGAGTTTTTCTGTTAGGAAAGACGTGGTAGAGCCATGCCGCAGCTATATTAATAGTATAGTTGTAGCACTAATGGGTCGGCTCGACCGGGGAAGGACCACGCTTTTACAGAATACCAGCGTAAAATAGCAGCTTAACCTGCTGTATTTCGTATGGTGAATGTAGAGAACCGGAGACCCTTTTTACTGGAAAAGAGGCATTCTATCTTACTAGGAAGATGGGCGGTGTTTCACTGGCCCTGACCTCTCTCTGGACGTTTCGGTTTACCGTCCCATTGAACTATGAGAGTGAGGAAACAGAGAGTGTACCTGTGCTTGCGCATACACTCGGACACTATAATCCGATCCAGAGCAGATGGCTAGCCTCCGTAGCAGCCAGTCGCCGTGACCGAAATTCGGTCTGGATGACATTATTATTATTATAGAGGATGGATATTTTGCGGTCTATCGGAGGCCAAGACCCATTTCTTCTTCCTGTCATTTAACATGCCACAGTCGGCTCTTAGACATGCATTGGTCGAAATATGTTGATTTATTCATTTTGGGGTGGTGCATCCACAGTGGAATCTAAATAATAATTTTAAATTGTATTTCAGGCTGTACAAAATGGCCATTGGCTATTATTAGAAGACATCGATTGCGCCGCTTTAGATGTTGCTTCAACTCTAAGCTCGCTATTGGAAAGAAATACACTATGTGTTCCAGGTTACAGAGATGCATTGCCGGTAACACCGGGTTTTCAACTTTTTGTTACACAGAGGTACATTGATTTGTAAATATATAATATAAATTAATAGCCACTAAACAAATATGACGAGCGTAAACTGTTTTCTTATTTTAAATTTGTATACAATATAATCAAAAACATGTTTTTTAAATTCCGATGTAACTTATCACTTTTTAGATCAAACAAAGCTCCAAACATGACACGAGTAGCTACAGTAGTAAATTTTGTTAACAAACTTATAGTGTCTGTAAATATGAATTTATTTTATTTTATGCATTGAGTTATAATGTACTACGTACTAGAGAAGCTATTCCAAACAAAAAATGTGCGCTACCCTATGTCTTCGCGCATGCGCGGTTTTTGTCATTATAGATTATACGAAGGTAGAATGATCAATATGTAATAAGTAATTGTTTATTTAGTTAAATTATATCGAGTACAATTTTTTTGTTATTTATTTTACATTTTTGTGTTAATTTAATATAATATAACATAATATTATGACAGAATTACATTTTAATGATATTTTATTTAATACTTTAAAAGGTAAATATGTAAAATATAAAAATATGAATTTATTTTCAAAGATCACTATTATTACTTTTCTAGAATTCTCTAACGTATTTGTACGCAGCTGGTGAATAATAGTGTAAAATCAATGCGAATTTACGTTAAGGTGCATGCAGTGTATTAATAAATAATGCGTGCTCTGTTTATTCTTTTTCATTAAAGATTCATGTAACTCCACAACTTCTGCTTTAGCCATTAAATCAATCTCAGCGTTTAGTTTTAAACCGAAATTATGTTTAAAATTTTTCCAATTGATTTGTAAGAAGCGCAGTTTTTCTTTAGATAAATATTTTGGCTTTGTATTTTCTTAAATTTCTCAGTAAGTTTCTTTCTAGCTGCAAATTCCTTGCTATTAAATACAAAGACAATATTACAACTTGCTCGTATTTTATTATTTTTATAATGACCTAGAATTATTGATTCCGTTACTAAAGTAGAACTATATTTAAGAACTTAGGCTTCGTATACATCACTCAAATTAGACTTAAGAGACATCACTTGCGTAATTTATTTGTAAGTACAATTTTACTCGGACTATCAAAAATTGAATTTGAACTGCTTATTGATTCAGACAATGGTTCTGATACTTCCTGTTCACCATATTTTGTTGGCTAAAAAAAGATACTAATTATTTGGGAAGCCTGTAAAACTTCTAGCCAGGCGTGTCACTTTGTAAAAATCTGAGGTATGGAAAATGGTGGCGCGATTTTCAAATTTGTTCGCATTACTCGTGGGGTATTAAGGTTTAAGAGTTTGCAGTGTATATACTCAACTTATTTATTGAACTATAAGATGTGGGGTATTGAGGTTTAAGGGCTTGCGATTTATTTATATGGGGTTTGTAGTAATATGCGATTTATTTCCTAATTTCAGCTATGGAATTCCATACCTTGAAAAACTTGAGGTATGGAGTGCTCCATACCTTCCATAGTGGAAGTGACACCCCTGCTTCTAGCGTTACAGTATTAAAAAACCGCCATATACTAGTGTGACTCGCGCGCCGAGGGTTCCACCTCTTAAGTCACGTAACGTAAATATACTGAACATTACAAAAAATTCGTTCGTCGTCTAATCAGAAAATAAAACTAAAATCCCAGCAATGTTATATAATAATATAATTACGTTATCGCATGGTACAGCTGATTTCTAAATTACATTTAAATGATATTTTTATTTGAATATTTTAAAAGGTATCTATGTAAAATATAAAAAAAAAACATACTTAATGTATTTGTAATAAAACTTATTGATATAACATAATTTACAAATATATTTATTTAGATTAGAATAAGAGTCGTTCATAAATGCTGGGCACGCGAGAATTAAAAAATTGATGAATTTAGTCCATTTATCCCTGTTTTCATGGCTTGGACGTCGAAACCTAAAAATAAAATAAAAGAATGATCAGCAAATTTAAATATCAGAAATTTAGCCTAATTATGAATACTTCCATTTGTTTCTACAAAAAAACAACATATTATATTATGCATAATTATTCTCAGACTTAAGTACCTACAGAAATGTCGCATCTAAACAAATTAATTTCATAATATATATTTCATGACCCGAGATGGCGTCTTTTGAATAATTTGTTTGATTAATTATTAATCTATAATACTTTTTTATTAAGTATTTTACTCACCGATGAAAAGTTGTTCCTTGGTATTTGCTAACATTTCTTGAATTATTTGTGCAATTTCTAAAACACACCATGGCGTATTTTATCAAGAATTTTTTTTATATAATCAGCATGTGTCAACTCACTAGCGCCTAGCGATCGACTGAGTAAAGTGCGGCAATATCACCGCAGTTGAATGGAACAGCGTAACATAATGCAGTGTCGCCTCTAGTACGTAGTACTTAATAAATAGCTCACTGATTTTATGCAAGAATAAAATCAAATTGTCCATACATAGTTTTATAATATAGCTACGTATTTTTTTAAAGTATGTTTTAGCGTGACTATAAACTGATTTAAATTCAATTGTATACTATTTTTGTGCATATTACACTTGTAAATCACGGTTTTGCCGTGGCAAAAGTCGTGGTAGATTGAGGACATCAATTAGGAGGCACTTAATGCTCTGCGAAAACTATTTAATCCATTACCAAATCACTTCATTCCTCGAAAGTATTAACCCGCTCTAGTGATTCACAAGTTCTATTGATATGGACTTTCGTAATGTTATGTTTTAAATAAGTTCTGCCTGTTTTATCAACGATATTGTTTTAAGCTTTTTAAATAGAAATTTTTTACTTTTGTTTCATATATAATTTTCATGAGGCTGTATTGTATCCATAGGACCGTGACAACAAATTATGGCTTCCAAAAGAAAATGTCAAATTCAAGCACATTGTTACAACGACACTTGACTCAAATTATTGTAGAGCCGTTATCAAGATCTGAATTGGCAGAGATCATTCAAACTTTGTATCCAAGTCTTACAACAATATGTTCTAGAATTATCGAAGTGTTCATGATGTTCTCTGTAGGTAGCCACGATACATCATTACAAACTACTGAGACTGTTTCTAATACAGACAAAGAAACAAATATAGTATTACTTAAAGGTTCCAGACTTATATCAACGAGGGATTTAATGAAATGGTGTTCTAGAGCAGTAGTGGGATTTGATGTTTCTAGTCCTGAATCAGCTTTGAAGGTTTTACAAGACGCTTTAGATATTTTTACATGTTCAGTATCCTCACCGGCACACAGGCTGGAGTTGGCAAAGAAAGTTGGTACCTGCTTGGGTATTGTAGAAACTAAATCTGAATTTTATTGCAAACACTACAAACCCAACGTATCTTTAAATCCTACTTTTCTAGAAGTTGGTCGAGCAAAAGTGCCTAGAGTGGAAAAAAGTTTGGAAACAATTAATTTTGCAAATAAGCAAGAAGTATTTTCATTCACAAGACAATCGGCTTGTTTACTTGAGCGGATTGCATGTTGTGTTGCAGCTAACGAACCTGTACTTCTAGTTGGTGAAACTGGAACTGGTAAAACTTCCTCCGTACAATATCTGGCGAAACAAACCGGCCACAAACTTGTAGTTATCAATATGAACCAACAATCTGACTCTGCTGATTTACTAGGCGGCTACAAACCTGTCGATTTAAAATTTGTGACACGACCAATTAAAAACGAGTTTGTCGAATTGTTCAAAGGTTTCTATAACGTAGATAAAAATCAGAAATTCCTTGGCCATATAGAAACATGCTATGAGAGTGAAAGCTGGACAGCCTTAGTAGCTCTCATGAAACAGAGTCACAAAGCCGCTGTGAATCGCTTATCTAAAGAAAGAAAAGAGTGTAAGTTAAAGAAATGGCTTACTTTCGGCTATAAACTATCAAAATTAGAGCAACAAGTGAAAGCTGCTACTAGATTGACTTTTGCATTTATAGAAGGATCTTTAGTAAAAGCAATGCAAGAAGGACGTTGGGTATTGCTAGACGAAATTAATTTAGCCTCTGCTGAAATATTGGAGTGTCTAGCTGGCTTATTAGAGGATAAAAATGAAAGTATTGAATTATTGGAAAAGGGCGATAAGGTCCCCATTAAACGACATCCGGATTTCACTTTATTCGCTTGTATGAATCCGGCGACAGACGTTGGTAAAAAAGATTTACCTGTTGGTCTAAGAAATCGTTTCACTGAATTCTTTGTTGACGAACTAACAGAAAGAAATGACTTGATACTTCTAATAGGTGACTACTTGTACCATATGAATTTAAGTGGTGCTATGTTGGAAGCGATATACAATTTTTATTCTAGTGTTAAGAAAGAGGCTAAACTAAACTTAGTTGATGGCGCAGGTAAACTTGTTAACATTTTTGTTTTTAATTTTAGTTTTCTTTTTAATAACAATATATCAATTTCAATCAATTTCTCAGGTAATGCACCACATTATTCACTAAGAACTTTATGCCGTGCGTTGACAGCGGCGGCCAGAGCAAAGTGTGGAACTGTGGCTAGGTCCTTATATGAAGCATTCTGCTTATCTTTTCTCACTCAACTGGATCGCTCTTCTCATCCGAAAGTAGAAGCCATGATAGCAAAGTAAGTTTTTTTTTTACCTTTGTGCCAATGTTTCACTACTACTCCACCTAGGGTTGTCGGCTCCCGTAGCATGTTTTAGAGAATTTGATAAATTTAAATAAAGGACATAAGATGAAAATAAAGGATATTATATTGATTTCAATAAAATACTGTTATGGTATCTGTGGCAATTTATTAACATAAAAACAATGTTAATACGCCATGTCACGTAGTTTATCTCTAACATCGCACGTCACATCCAAATTGATTTTTAAACTCTTTGACCTCAACTAGCAGAGGAAATGTCGAATACGCGCGATGAAGAAAATCAACGCAACTTCTAAATTTATTTTTCCGAATTTATATTTTATTTGATGATTCAGATTTCGAGTTAATTATTTTTTTTATTTCTTTGGTTGCTGTTTAATGTCACATCACTCATTTTATTTTTTGTATGCTTGACTCTCTTAAAATATTTATACATTAGTTGTAAGTTTTTGTAATTTTAACTTTTTTAAAACGTGGAGTAGGTACCTCAGACTAGGATTTTCTTCTGTATCGTGGAGTTAAGTTACAAACATAAATTGCACAAGGACAAACATCCAGACCCGGAACAATCATTTGTGGTCCATGCAAATAAATACTTGTTTCGTGCTTGGGATTCGTACTCTCGGTCCTCAACGCCGCAATTCATTGCTAAGCGTGCCAAAGATCCTTCACTGTATTATAAGCAATGTGTCTGTATTTATGTAAAACTAGCTGTTCCCCGCGACTTCGCCCGCGTGTTATTTGGAGTTTTAATTTTTTTATAAAAGTAGTCTAAGTTATTCCTTGTGACATCAGCTATCTGCCAGTGAAAATCCCATCAAAATCGGTCCAGCCGTTTCGGAGATTAGCTGGAACAAACAGACAGACAGACGGACAGACAGACAAAAACTTTAAAAATTGTATATTTGTTATTAGTACCGTATATACTTTCATTTGTATTTAGTAAAAAACCGTAATTTTGACATTACAAACAGACACTTCAATTTTATTTATTTGTATAGATATAGCAGTTGCTGACGTAATAAGTAAAATAAATCGAAAATTTTAAAAACTCCCAAAAAGAACCCTACCGCAGCTAACAAAACAACTGATGACCTTGAAACGGCTGAACCAATTTTGATAAAACATGTCTAAGAACCACTGCTAGAAAACCTGCTTTAAAATAGAATAAAAAAACTGTACCCAAATTAGTTCACCCATTTAAGAGCTATAGTGCCACAGACATACACATACATACACACACACACACACACACACATACACACATAACGATCAAACTTATAACATCATTTTTGCGTCGGGGGTTAAAAATAACATTCATTTGGTATTTCTTATTTATTTATAAAGAAATCATTTGATTATTCGATACATCATAAGTACCATCTCTGTGTATCTTTGTCTGTCTGTGGCATCACAGCTCCTGGATGGATGAACTGATTTTGAATAAGTTTTTTTTGTTTAAAAGGCGCCTTAATCGAGCGGGTTTTTAGCTATGTTTCAAGAGAATCTGTTAAGCCATTTGAAGATCATCAGCTTTTTTGTTTCGGGGGTTTATTATTTTTTTTTAATTTTAGTTATTCTATTATTTTGTATATATGTGTTATATGAATACTTCTTGCAAGTTAAATAATTTCTATTTATGTAACAGATATAATGATTTTTCTTTCAGAGCCGTCATAGGTAAAAGGAATGTTAATTCAATCCTCAATCAACTGATACCTGAACCGCAGGTTCCTGGAAAAAACTACTTGCTTTTTGAAGGTCATTGGATTCCTCAGGGAACATTGGAAATCGATATTCCAGATGGTTATATTTTGACTCCTACAGTCAGAAAAAATCTTAGGGATATAGCGCGTATTATATCTCTCGGTCGACTGCCGATATTACTTCAGGGCGATACGTCGGTGGGAAAAACATCACTTATCACTTACATTGCAAAGGCATCCGGAAATTATTGTGTGAGAATTAATAACCATGAACACACAGATTTGCAAGAATATATTGGATCCTATGCTACCGATTCAAGTGGAAATCTAGTCTTCAAAGAAGGTGTACTTGTAGAAGCTATGAGAAAGGGCTATTGGATTATTTTAGACGAATTGAACTTAGCTCCAAGTGATGTGCTTGAAGCGTTAAATCGCGTTCTGGATGACAACCGCGAGTTGTTTATACCAGAAACACAGCAAGTCATTAAGGCTGATCCCAATTTTATGCTGTTTGCGACACAAAACCCTCCCGGTTTGTATGGTGGACGTAAAATGTTATCAAGGGCTTTCAGGAATAGATTTGTTGAACTTCATTTTGATGAAATACCACGAAATGAATTGGAGACTATTCTACATCAACGGTGTCATGTACCACCCACTTACAGTAAAAAGATGATTGCAGTCATGGCAGATTTGCAAGTGAGACGACGAGGTTCTGCTGCAGTGCAGGGAAAAGACGGTTTTATTACTTTAAGAGATCTGTTTAGATGGGGAAATAGATATAAGCATGCCTCCAAAGAAATATTGACGAATGACAAGTTCTATGATTGGGATCAACACATTGCCGACGAAGGCTACCTGATATTGGCTGGAAAAGTCCGACAAACAGATGAAAGGTCAATAATAGAGGAAGTTATTGACAAACATATAAAAAGAAAAGTGAACCCTGATAACCTATTTAGTCTTCATCAAAACACTTCACCCATAACAAAATCTATTTTAGAGATAATACTTAATAACAAACTCATTGAATTCTCGCATGTTGTATGGACGTATAATATGAGAAGATTGGCTGTTTTGATTGCTAAAGCATTTATGTTTGATGAGCCTGTGCTGCTTGTCGGTGAAACAGGATGTGGCAAGACTACTATATGTCAAGTACTTGCTGCTATAAGCAATCGTAAACTCCTTTCAGTTAATTGCCATATGCATACAGAGAGTTCTGACTTCTTAGGAGGTCTTCGACCGGTAAGGCAGTACAAGAAAGACGGCAGACTATTTGAATGGGTAGATGGACCTCTTATTATAGCTATGGAGAATGGTCACATGTTCTTAGCTGATGAAATATCTTTAGCTGATGATAGTGTTCTGGAACGAATGAATTCTTTACTAGAACCTGAAAGGCAATTGGTGTTAGCCGAAAAAGGAATGGAAGATGGTTCAGACATAGTAGTGGTAACAGCAGCCAAAAATTTTCACTTTATAGGAACTATGAACCCTGGCGGAGATTACGGCAAAAAAGAGCTCTCACCAGCATTGCGAAATAGATTCACCGAAATATGGTGTGACAGTGTTACGAATAGAGATGATCTCTTAAAAGTTTTAGAGAAAAGCGTTGGTAAAGGTATCGCATTAGGGAATCAAGAAGATGGTACATCGGGGATCGGAAGTTCCATTTTAGATTTCACGACGTGGTTGAAAAATTCCGAAGTGACTAACAAGTTTCCTTTCAGTATACGAGATTTATTGTCATGGGTTCAATTTATAAATGTATCAGTTGCAAAAGGCCTTTTAGATACCCCGGAAGCTTACGTTCATGGAGCCTGTTTGACATTTTTGGATTGTTTTGGAACAGCGTTAACAGGCCATATTGACTCACGAGCTTTGACTTTATTGCGGAAATCGGCTATAAGCTTCTTGCTAGATCAAATAAAAACAATCGCTAGTGAATATACAGATAGCTTAAAAGACTTACTTGAGTTAAACATTTCGACATTAAAAGCTGAATTTGATGGTACTAAATTTGGTATTAAACCTTTTTACATTGATGTTGGAGCACACATCAATCAAATTGATTCGGAACAGAAATTTACTTTTACTGCTCCAACAACTGGATCTAATACTCTAAGGTTATTACGGGGTCTACAACTAAATAAAGCCATACTATTGGAAGGAAATCCAGGTGTCGGAAAAACAAGCTTAGTGACAGCTTTAGCTAAGTCCTCAGGGCATAGAGTAGTTCGCATTAATTTAAGTGACCAAACAGTAAGTACTTTTGATATGTTTGACTAATGTTTTTAGTTATAATAATTTTTACCAGCTTTATTTTTACTCTGTGATGGTGACTTGAGAATACCCATCACTTCTGTTTCATAGTGAGTATCGAAAAAATAAGCATATCAAAAACTTACAAATAATAGTAAACAGACTTACAATTTTTGATGTCGTGTGTCTGCTTCCGTGCGTTTGTGTGTGTGTGTGTATGTAAAATATATAGAGAACTGTTAAAATATATAGAGCATACACTTTACAAAGTTAGTTTTTAATTAATCGTGCAATGTTCTATTTTAATATTATATTGCTGATGTTCTTTGAAATTTTTAAATTATATATATAATATGATTTCTGATACAAAAGAAATTCTATTTATTTTTCAGGATATAACAGATTTATTCGGTACTGATCTTCCAACTGAAGATGGATCTTTTATATTTAAAGAAGGAGCATTCTTAAACGCTCTGCAAAATGGTGATTGGATTTTGCTGGATGAACTCAACTTAGCGCCGCAGCCTGTGCTAGAAGGTCTAAACGCGTGTTTAGATCATAGAGGTGAAATTTTCATTCCAGAATTAGGAAAAACATTTAAAGTTCAAAAGGAAACTAAATTATTTGCATGCCAAAATCCTTTAAAACAAGGTGGAGCTAGAAGAGGGCTACCTATATCATTCTTAAATCGGTTTACTCAAGTGTACATTGATACTTTGACAAAAGAAGACCTCATATATATTGTCGAATCACAGTATCCAACACTGCCAAAAGATGTATTACACAGAATTGTCAAATTCAATTGTAAAGTTGCCCATGAAATCACAGAGATCCAATCTTGGGGTCACAGAGGAGGTCCTTGGGAGATGAATTTAAGGGATATACAAAGATGGTGTGAAGCATTATTGGCTGATAAAAATGCTGGCAATATTGTTTCACCTGGGAAATTTGTTGACATGCTATATATTAACCGAATGAGAACCATTGAGGATAAACATTTAATGGCTAAATCATACGATGAAATCTTTTGTCCGGAGTATCCAAGAAGTGCAACTAATCCACAGTTTGACATAAATGACGAGGAGATCATTTTTGGAGACGTAAAATTGAAAAGGAATAAGGATAAAACATTCAAAAATAGGCGCGCGTTACAATCAAACTCATTAATCTTAAGAAATCAAATGCCAACTTTAAAGGCTGTTGCACAAAATATAAATATGAATTGGTTAACAATATTAGTGGGTGCGACATCGACAGGAAAAAGTAGTATAGTACAAATACTGGCTGACTTAGCCGGCCATAATCTTCATGTAGTACCTGTGACTTCAGCTATGGATGTATCTGATCTTCTTGGCGGGTTCGAACAAGTTGATTACAATAGAAATCTTGAGAATATCTATGATGAAATAGAAACACTTACACAACATACCGTTCGTAATTTATGGTTGACAGAGGAAATTGATAAATGGAAAACAAACAAATTACTCAATAATCTCCATCACTATATAAAGTTGCAATCCGATTACGTGAATAATAAATTTACCAATGAAGATACCGAAAAGTTTAAGGAGAAAATACAATTCCTTTTAAAACATTGTAATAATTTGTTAAAATGGAAATCAACAGATGAGTTTGTAAATAAAGTACAAAGAAATATTCATAAATTAAATAGTTTGCTTAACAAAGTTCAAGGTTCGTCGGTGAAATCGGGGGGTAGATTTGAATGGATAGATTCACTACTTGTGAAAACATTGATAGAAGGATCATGGCTTCTTTTAGACAACGTCAACTTGACATCGGCAGCTGTGTTGGACAGGCTTAATGGTCTGCTGGAACCTAACGGTGTCCTGAGTATACCAGAAAGAGGTGAAATAAGTGAAATTAAACCTCATCCGAACTTCAGAGTATTCTTCACCATTGATCCTAAGTACGGGGAAATTTCGAGGGCGATGAGAAATCGGGGAGTGGAGCTGTTTCTTCTTCGGCCTGATGACTGGGAAACTAGTTTGTCTGAAACAATACCATATCTGGATTTGGTAGCGCTGCTTTCTTCGTGTGGTCTTCCTGAGCGATATTATGCTGTTTGTATTAAATGCCATGAACTAATGACTTCTTTTATTCAAGGTTAGATTTTCACATACATATTAATATTTTTGTTTTATTCTATAATATTATTTTAAGAGATGTTGTTGATAATGAGATGAAAATGTTCATTCTTTTTTCTTTTTTTTTAACTTAGGTTTAGAGAGGCCAACAATATCACACTTAATACAGGCGTCGTATTTGACGTGGCAGCAACTTGTTCGAGGTATTCCCTGTAGAAGTGCATTGTGGAACAGCTTTGCTGACGTGTACATAAAACCTAGGAGTGGAAGTGATTTTGTATCAAATGTAAATGTTCCATTAGCCGAAATGAAAAATATAATGTTAAAAGCATTAGAAAAAGAACTCGAAAAAGAAGAATATGACGAAATAAATTTAAGTAATACAACTCACACTTTATCTATTAAAGGATTATGTGCCAAGTCTTCTGATGAAATAGGAAAACAAATTGCATATCCAGTGGTAAAGCAATTATCTACTAAAGACAGTTGTCCAGATAATGCTTTGCATTATCTTTTTAGTATTTTTGTTTCATACCAAAAATGTCATAAAGAGACTTTATTTATATTACACTCTATAATAAAGGAATATGTGAGCCATGAAAAAAATAACAAAGCTCTGATTTTGGCTGATCAACTAAATGAGAAAGCATTCAAATATCTACAGGAAATTAGTTCAAACCTATCAACACATCAAAGATTTTATCCTGAATCTGAAATGCAATTAGCTAAGGTTATCCCGGAAACAAATGTTATTTTAACATTGCTTTACAATGAATTACACAAAGTGTTTACTGAGACATCAAAACACGAAAAACATTTTTCGGCGTTGGAATATTCAAAAGCTGTTCTATCTAACAGTTTAACGGATGACTTTGTTGAGTATCCTATTTTAAAATTTTGTCAGCTTTACATTCAACGTGTCGATGATGAAATAGTGAAGGCCGTAAAACTTGCACGAGATTCATTTAATGACAAAATATTTTGTCAAATACTACAGTTGTTGAATTGGCGTAGTAGATTTATCGGGATTTGTTCGAAGCCTATATTTGTACTAACGAAAAGCAATAGAACACCGATTTTGAAGGAAGAAATCATTCCACTGCTTAACGTGCATAATAAATGGTTGCGAAAGTATTTGCTTAATCAACTGTTCAAGCTTCCAGGCAATAATAAGGGATTAGAAAAGTTTAATACTGATTTGGAAAAGATGAACTTGCACAACCAAAACGATTCTGTAACAATGCCTAAACTAAGTAAGAAGTTACGCAAGTTATATGGGCAACCTAAGTTATACGAAAATGAAACAGAACAGTCTCTATGCATTCAAAGATCTGATATTTACAAATCTCTAACTTTAGATATGAATCACCCAATCGAAAAACAAGTTACAAAAATACGTGTGGGCTCCATGCCGATTTCAGATTTATCTTTAGTAATAGATGTGCCCGAAGAAAACGTTTTAAAAACTGTACAGGATATTGTAACAAGGAATTTAGAAAATGCCAAAGATTTAGACAAAAGTTTCCACTTGAAACTATTACCAATACACTTATATGCAGTGCAAAGGGTTTTATGTCTAATAAAAAGTGATTTGTTGAATATTATTAACAAAATGAATTCAAATGACAAAAACTATACAATATCAAACAATGTAATAGATGTGTTGACATATTTGGTTAACATAGGCAAAGAAATCAAAGGCTTTCCACCGGCTCTTTTGGTCCTTTTAAAAATGATTCAAAATATTATAACGGACAATGAAGTAAACTTTGAGAGGTAAGGACAAAGTGATTTAAAAAAAAGAATACTAGGAATGCTAATTAGCATTACTAATACTCACATCTACCACTTTAAGTAAACTTAAAAATGCTTGTGTGAAGAGTGGTTCACCACAGTAGTCGGATGGGGGTTTCGAACCTATGACTCTCTGGTACCATGGTGAAATTATATTTTTGCTGGCGGGTTATTTTACATATTTTACTTATAAATACGAAATCGTTATAACCCATGTCAGGGACTACAAGATCTTCCCAGCATTTAATTTAATCAAACTCTTAAAATATAACAAACAACAAAAAGAAACAGGGTAATGGTATACATCACAAAAACACAGCAAATACTTTTATAAAATTATCATGTTAAAACTTATGATTGTGTACTAAAATATAATAAAGATTGATTACTCAATTCATATTTCTTTTCCAGAATATCTTCAATTTCTGTCAAGTTGTGGGATGAATTGTACAAAATGCTAGTTAATTCGCCTGTTGTATACCCATTACCTTTTCTAATACCAACTGAATCTCAAACGTCGGAAGATAGTATTCAAGACATCCCGTCCAACAGCGAGAGGGTTTCTACAAACCTTCCTTTGATGCCTTTTTATATTCAAAAGTTAACTATCCATACAGACGATAAAAGTAAGTACCTAATACTTTATAATTTATGACATTTAAAAAAAATGCAATACTTCATTACTAACTAGGTTTTGCAAAAAAAAAATTTTGTACGTGGTAGAGCCATACTGCAGCTATATTAATAGTATAGTTGTAGCACGAACGGGTCGGTTCGACCGGGGAAGGACCACGCTCTCACAGAATACCAGCGTAAAATGGCAGCTTTACACTGCTGTGTTTCGTAAAGTGAGTGTAGAGAACTGGAGACCCATTTTACTGGAAAAGAGGCATTCTATATTAGTCCTCACGGGCAAAGACGCATCTGCATTTTGATTCTTTATTGAGGATAAAAGTAGATGTCTATGGGTCACAGCAACCACTTACCATCAGGTGGACTGTGTGCTCGTTTGTTACCCTTATTTTATATTAAAAAAAATCAGGAATTGGGCAGCAGCGTCTTCCTAATAACGACTAAAATAAAAAACTGCAGTTGCCAATGCCCTTGCCAGTATGGTGGAGGCCTATGTTTAGCAGTGGACTTTGATAGGCTGTAACAGAAACGGTATTCCATCATATCACACATCGACAAAACTTAACTTTGTACTTGTAAGGTGTTTCAGGTTTTTTATAATAATTTAAAAATTGCAATTGTATTGTTACAACAGTTTGTTATATTCCGTAAATAGATATCAATATATTAATGTCTATTGCATAGTAACATGCTGTGTGGACAGACCTTAAGAATATGTTGAACCAAATTATTTTGGTGACTAACTCTAAGTTTCCATTTTCTTGTTAAATTATAACGAGTATTATTTTATATTGCTTTCTTAGTAATGGTGTTTGGTTAGTACGTGAATATGAAAGATTTCTTGTTATTTTCATATTATTAAATTAAGTATTATGATAAATACTGAAAGTGCTAGACATGAGCATCTAACATAATAGGAAGAATTTGTCGTAATCGTCTTGTCTTGCCGTTGGATTGGCGATTTCAGTACCAGACGACACTCGTAAGATATTGATATGATATTTTAAATTATTTTACAGGCTCCCGCCATGTTTTAGCATACGAGTCTGTGCCTTTGAAAGATAGGGTAGAATATTCTATGCAACTGGACGCCCTACTTAACACTTTATGGAAGAATATAGGTGCATTAGACACGGCCGCTGCTTTGAAATTGTAAGTGAGAAACAAACATTTTTATTTTTTATTTATAACATATACTTTGTCAGATATCATTGTGTCAGTAAACTTAACATATTTGAGTTTTCAGTCTATGAAATAATAATAATTAGTCCAGAAATAAGGTGAACAATATTATGTCTAAGTTTTAATGATTTGTAATGATTTCAGAAAAACTGATGCAGATTTCGAGACGAAAAAATACGAGCAACTAATCTATCATCTGCATTCATTTGTACAAGAAAAGTTATCTAACAGTTCAAATTCCGTGCCGTCTAATGATGATATACGTCTTCAAGAATACTTTAAAGATGATACCACTTTTGTTAATATGTTAACAACAGCCTCGCAAACGTACAAAAACCTTAATATTATCGTCAAAGAAAGTTCTAGAACCAATGAAGAAAATATGAGAGCCAAAATTTTGACTGCAGAATTGTCTATGCTTACAAGTTTTTTGTTTATAAAGATAATGGCTGAAATAAGTCCAATGGACCACGTAGAGAAACATCGCCTAAAAGTTCAATATATTGAAGAAGATGTAAAAATGTTTGATGCATTACTTAGCGTATATTACATACATGGCGTAGTATCTGGATGCATTCTAGAGAGCAGGAATATTGAGAAGAGTTCAGATGTTTCAGTCGAAAACTTAAAGGAGAATAAAGAAAAACTAAATAAAGTGCATCCTTATTGCTCTATTCTTGCAGAGCTCAAAGAGAAAACCGCACAAGGTGTTCATAAGTATGCTTCTGGTAATACTTTTAGACCTAAAGAACCTTCATACGGAAGTTTCGCAAAGGTAATTTATTTGAATAACATTGTATATTAAGGCCAAAATTACATCATCTATGTAAAAATTATAACGTTCCTTGTAGTGACGGTGTAAGAATATCGTCTATCTCAAATCGTCCCGTGGGTGTCGAAAGAGTCGACAGAGGGAAACTGACGCAGGAGAAGGGTAGCGGCTTCTTCCTGATAACAACTGAGAATAATAAAAAAACTTGTGATTGCCAACTCGCCTGCCAACCGTGGCAACTATGGCAAAATCCCCCTTTATGAAGCAATCTATGGGGGAGACCTTTGCTCAGCAGTGAACTTTTATAGGATGTAATGGATGGGTAATGCCCCTTTGGCCAATTTTCCTCACGGAATTTATTGACTGCACAGGATGTTCAAACTGCTAGAAGTGTCGGGTCGGGAATTGGGTTTGTTGCGATGAGTGTAACAGGTAAAAATACATTAAAAACCTCGAACCAGTGGCGTAGCAGATGTAATGCCGTTCAGGGCCGCAAGAGCAAATAATCCCGCCCCTTACCCCATATTCATAATATTTGAAAATTATACATTATATAAAGTGGAAAGTGGATACTGTAGTAGATGTTTCAGCTGTTGTGGCTCAAATATCATTTTACAAAGTATATATATAATATCTGCAAAAGATAGTGCCCAATATGCAAGTGTGGCAGCTCCATTATTAGTAGTGCGTTGTGAAACAAATCATGAAATAAATTTTCGGCTATTATTTAATGTTAATCTATATTAATAAAATAACAGAGATTGGCAGTGCGCGCATCACGGAAAAACTACTGGATAGATTTCAATTAGATTTTCTAAGTTTTATTTCTTAGATATTTGGCCCTAAATAAAAAAAATATTGCGATATCTTTATCTAATATAAGGTTATAAGGTTATTAAAGTTTTAAGAAACAACGATTTTTATACGGGGTTTTTCACACGGTCTCTATGGCGCTTGCTCTCGTGTTACTAATCCAAATTTACCTACAAAGGGAGCAACGAATAACATTGTTTACAAAGAAATTTTGTCTTTTTGATGTTTTTTCCTCCGCACATACGAAAACGACGATGTCGCGGGTATGAGCTAGTATTTGAATATAATTAATATTACCTTTTTTACAGGATTGCAAGCACTTCACGAAATCAGTTTTATCAGAGAAGTCAGTAACAGCAGTTTCTACAAACCTCATCTCCATTTGCGATGCTCTTTACAACTGTGTTCTGACTCGTGACATCAACAAAAGCATAATACAGAAAGCTCATACTGTCGTCAAGGAAACTTCGTCTTGGCTTCATTCAGTTGAAGCGTTTTATAAAAAAATTGAAACTGCTTACTCTGAGGCTTTCCCCGATTTAGCAAAACCGTTACAGGCTTCCATATCGCAGATTATTTACAGTATTACTTCAGTGAGCGATCTTGTAAGAGAGATGATTGTGAAAATTGAACAGGGTTCACTTTTGGATCAAACTGTGACTGAACTTATGATATATCCGAACAAGATTCCAAGTAGAAATGCCAAAGAAAAGCATTTGAATAGATTTGTATCGTCATCATTCATGCATGTGTTAAAGAGAAGTGTAATATCTGATGATGATGACGTATTCAACGCCGAGTTGGAGTGTTTAGAGTAAGTATTAAAGTTAATCACATTATGTAAAAATTAAGTGTTGTTTGTTCCCCAGAAACATAAAAAAGAAAGTAAGCAAGATGATGTATTCATATGCAGTATTAAATTAGTAATTTTAAAATTTGTAAAACTGTTATGCACATCTGAAGGTAGTAAGTCACCAACAGAAACACCAAATAATCCGAAAGATCGTCAAGAAATATAGGTTATAATCGGGTTTTAGTGTTGCCCCCGCTAGCTATTCAAACTGCGTCCAGTCTCCATACTCCTAATCAAGTTGTCAATAAAATTCTTCGTTGCGTTCCATTCGCAGCGGCAGTAATTTGTCTTCCAAACTTGTCCCATTCATGCGTTATGAGGTTTAAGTCGAGTGAGCGTGCTGGCCACCCGATAGCATTGATTTCAACGTCTCGAAGGTATTCGGCAACTACTCTTTTCCAATGTTGTTGCACTGAGCATAACATATCTCTCCCCAGCGTCTTCATTCTTTCCTTTCATCATCTGGCTTTAAGCAAAAACTTGACTTATCTACACTACTTATCTGTGCTAATCGATCGTATGTGGCAAGTAGAGGGCCTCTGGCAGGCAGGTGTGAATTTATTTCGGCCAAATTCAGTCTTTTTCTCACAATTTTTGTGCTTACTGTAACGCCTTGAACTTCTTGGAGCTTCCTTCTTACCTCAGAAGCAGTTAAGGTCCGGTTTCTAAGCACGTTGTTAACGATAAACCGGTCATCTACGGCCACTGTTTTCCGTTTAAATCCCTGTGTTGTAAGTCTCATATACTGTCCACTCTGTCGATGCCTCTTGACAACTCGGAGTAACACAGATTTCGATACTCGTAATGTTTGGGCTACATGTTTGTACGTGTGCCCAGTTACAATTAAAGTAACAATCCTAGCAACTTGAGTGGCGTTTAGATCTGACATTCTGAGTATATTTGCAGTAATAATTCACACTGAACACAATAAACTGTGCACGCAAGGCAAAAATTTAAACAAACCCAACATTTATACTCGAATCCAAAATTTGGCAAAATTATTCGCAGTTTGAGTATGACATAACGCAATATTATTAAAAAAATGACATTCGAAAAAGAAACACCAAACTTTCTGTTTATTATTAGCATTTATTTATGCTTGTGGCCAGTACGCACGATAATTACAACAGCAGAAATTAAACATTTTTTTGCTTTTTTTCCTCTATATTTGTCCATGACTGTATTTTTACAAATCTTCGGTTCTGATGATGAAATACTTAGGCTGCTTTTAAATCATCTATTAATTAATCAATTATTTACAATACAAATTAAATATGCAATATATCCGCAACATTCTTCGTCACGTACCTAACTTTTTTTCTTTCACACAGGGCTTTAAAAATGAATTTGTCAGAGTTAAATATGCACTGCACGGCCATGGAAAGCGTTGACAAGTTGACTTTTGATGCAGTTTTAAGTACATTAAACGCAATCGTGAATATTTGGGAGAAACAGCGCCAGGACATCGAGAAAAAGAAACAAGACGACGAAGCGCTATATGTAACAAAGTTAGTGTTATAATATTTTTTTCGCTGTACTGCATTGTCGATATATTTATTCGACATATATATGTAGCTAAAATAGTAATGCATTTATTCACAAAATATTACAAAAGTGAAGCAATATATTAAGGATATATTAAATTAACTTAGTAAGATAGTGCGAAAAAAAGAATTGGACGACGCTGCCACACATACAACAGCTTTTAAAAATTAAAGCTATTAAAAATAAACAATTTAGTGTGGTATTAATATGGCAGAACAACCCCAAAACATTTAATGTTATCTTAGTAGAATTCCAATAACTGGCAAATTTTGTCAGATGTTAAGAACAGAACAGCGCGTCTTGAACAGTTCCCGATAGGATAGTGATGAGTGAATTCTATATAACTATTAAGCTATACATTATGTGTAAGTAGATTATATGATCATATTAATGCGTTCACTATGTATGCTATGTCAAAGATAGGAGATAATCACAACAAACTTTTATTGCACGATTTTTGGCTTTCCGGCTAATATATAAACCCAGTAACAGTGATTCTGTGTTTAAGTTCTCTGTCTGATTGCCACGTGTGCATTATCCTTCCATCATATTTAACGTTGATATTCATTACATGCGAACAAAAGATCATCATTTATTTTTACTTTGCGTATTTTTAAAGAGGAAATATTTGCCTACTTATGTCTTTTAAGCCAGATACTGTAGTTGACATTTCGTCTTTTCATATCCTGTTATAGTAAAGAATATCTTTTAATCGTAGATCATTTTTTGAATGTGAATATGTGTCGATTTGCAGGTCCAAATGCGAAGATGAAGACGAGGATGAAATCGCACAGGAAGAAATAATGGAGATGTTTCCGTCATATTCGGAGTCAGATTTTGCCGAGTTTAAACCTCTTATACTTGAAAATAAGAAATCCAAAATGCCAAAGAATGACAATAAGAAAAAAGCAGAATACTTAATAAGTAATGAAGATGTATCCCTGATCTACAAATGGCATTCCAATTTTGTACGTAATTTGACCATAGCAGAATGGTTACCTAGCCCAAAGAAATTAGTTGGCAATGATGTTATAAGCCCTTTGTTGAAGAGGTATCCCACATTTAGTCGAATTGTAGATTATGTTTGGGAAGCTTTAGACGCAGAATTTGAAGGAGTCATTTCACCAAGTTTGATGGTACTTATCTCACATATAAAAGAGAAAGTTGATGGAAGTGGTAAGTATTGATCAATTATATTTGTATATGTATCTTTACAGCCTAAAGTCCACTGCTGATCATAGGTCAACCCTATAGATTGCCTCATAGGGAGGATATTGCCAATAGTCGCCACGCTTGGCAAGCTGTTTGGCAACTGCAGTTTTTTATTTTTAGTCGTTATTAGGAAAACGCTTCTGCTCATCTCCTGATTTGTTTCCCTCTGTCGCCTCTTAAGACACACACGGTATGATATGGGGTAATGGATATCCTTACACATATGATATGATAATATACTCTATTATCTTTATATATGGTTCTAGTTTATTTGTAATAATTGCAGATATTCATTTATTCATTTATCCGGTAATAAATAAATAATATGTAGAATCTGTATAGCTTTATAGGGTAACTTCACAGCAAAGCCCAAATAACAAAACATAGGTTAAGTAGAAACCTAACCTATGTTTTGTTATGGTAATATTTGCAAAAGGTAGGTTTTAGGCTGTTTCTGTCTATGATAAGCATAAATTTAGGTATGTACTTCATGTTTTATTGCATTATATTAATCTTAAAATATTAAAACATTAAAAAAATAATGAAGTTAATTTAAATGGTTCCACAGAAGCATCGAGTCAAAAGGTCGACTTTTACCACTCACCTTGGGTTTCCGAAACGAGGCAATGTTTGCCGTTGCTGCAAAAAGTGAAAGAAAGTACAAATGAATTACTCGATCAGTGGCCTGATTTCCCGACACTGAAGGACGTAAGTAACGAAAAGTTATCATCAATATTATTCGGAGAATATATTATAAAGGTTCCTTTAATAACCTTTTAATAGACCTATATAAAATCAAGCAACTATTTTCACAAATATGGAAGCATATCATCCTCAAATAAAAAAAATAACTTATTAAGGTATGTGACGGTAATATGGTCACCTTAAGCTTTATCGCTCTACAAAACCAATACTAGGAGGAGAACAGCGGTAAAAACACAAATTCGTATACTTAACTAATACTTATATTAAGGAAAAAAATAGCAAACAAGCTTTGGCATTAATTAGGAACACTTCGAAAAATCATCTCAGAAAACTAAGTACACTACACACTACTAAAATAATTACTATAATCAGACCTGTCTCACTCCGCGATTTAGGCATGAAAATATACCTACGCTGCGCGGCCCACAAGAGGTTAATTCAGTGAGTTTGTCACGCACGCGCTCGAGTTGACGCGCACTTTACGTTAACAAAAAATATTTTTCTCTTATAAGTATTTAGGCATGTTTGATATTAATTTTTAAGTTTTTATTCAATTATGACCACTCAAAAAGCCAAAAGGTACTGCATAGCATACGGATGCTTAAATAACAATAGGAATGTCGACTTTTCATTCTTTACTGTTTAATGTTTTGTGTACTAAGGATATCGAAAGGTAAGATATTATTATTTATAGGTAGATCTAGATAATTAGGTACCTAGTTACTGACGCCATAGTTACAAATTTATTATTTGATTAGCTATTCGACCAATTTTCACGTATAATATCAATGACCGTAAAAATCGCAGACCTTCCAGTATTAGTGACATGCTACTAATGCAAGATCAGCATATACGGGTTTTTATAATAATAGATAATAATACTTATTACTTATTACTTAATACTCATTACAGTCCCCGGCGGCCCCGCTATTCCTGCAGGCAGGGCAGGGGGTGCTAAGAATCTCCGGTGGAGGTTCGGTTGCCACCTACGACGACTCGACCTGGCAACATACAACGCACGCACCCTGAGGACTGACGAGAAGATCGTGGAGCTGGAAGAAGAGATAGACAAGTTACGCTGGCATATTATAGGATTATCCGAAGTCCGAAGAGAGGGGGAGGACACGGTAATCCTCGAATCCGGCAACTTGCTCTATTACCGGGAGGGCGACCATCTGTCCCAAGGAGGTGTCGGATTTATCGTCCACAAGTCTCTCGTTAACAACGTTGTAAAGATTGAGAGTGTGTCGACGAGGGTTGCGTACCTTATACTCAGAATCACCAAACGGTATTCGCTGAAGGTCATACAGGTTTACGCACCAACCTCGGCACACCCCGATCAGGAGGTGGAGGAAATGTATGAAGATATCTCTAGAGCCATGCATTCCTCCAAAACCCAATATACGGTGTTAATGGGAGACTTCAATGCAAAACTAGGCACAAGAGAGAACGGTGAGCTGAAAGTAGGGAAATTTGGAATAGGGCAACGGAACCCAAGGGGCCAGCAGCTGGCCGACTTCATGGAGAAAGAGGGACTCTTTATGATGAACTCTTTCTTCCAGAAGCGGCCCCACAGGAAGTGGACCTGGTCGAGCCCCGACGGTTCGACAAAAAATGAGATTGACTTCATTATGACGACCAGACGACAACTGTTCAGTGATGTCTCAGTGATCGCGAGGGTGAAAACCGGCAGCGATCACCGAATGGTTAGAGGCACACTGAACCTAAACGTTAAGTTGGAGAGGTCTCGTCTAATGAAGTCAACGCTCCGTCCCCCTCGTGCTCTAATCCAAAGTCCCGAAACCTTTCAGCTCGAGTTACAAAACCGTTTTCAGTGCCTAGAAGACTGCAATGAAGTGGACGATTTGAATGACAAGCTCGTGGAAACTGTCCATGCGGTCGGAGCTAAGTTCTGCAAGAGCCGCCGCAGAAGAACACAAAAACTCTCCGATCACACTCTTAATCTCATGGCTGTTAGACGGGAGATGAAGCTACATTCTTCAACAGATTTAACAGCATACAGGCAACTGAACAGACAGATCTCCAAATGCATGCGGCGGGACTTACGCAAATTCAATACAGCTCGTATTGAAGAAGCGATCGAGCGGAACCGAGGCTCCAAAGTCTTTGCCAGAGATCTGTCTGCCAGAAAGCGTCAACTGTCAAAGCTGAAGACAGAATGTGGCAGCATCGTTTCCGGGGCACGTGAGATTTTGAGTGAGATTGAGAGGTTCTATGGGCAGCTGTACACGTCATCGTTGGAGCCGCACGCAAGTGTGAGTAACGATCCAAGAGCGAGTCTTATCCGACATTATTCCGATGATATCCCGGACGTCAGTCTGAGCGAGATTAGAATGGCTCTCCAGCACCTTAAAAACGGCAAGGCCCCAGGCGAGGATGGAATTACAGCGGAGCTTCTGAAAGCGGGTGGAAAACCGGTACTTGAAGTGCTTCAGAAGCTCTTTAATTCCGTCCTCCATGGTGGCATTACACCGGAGGCGTGGAGCAGAAGTGCGGTGGTCTTGTTCTTCAAGAAAGGCGACAACGCTCTCTTGAAGAACTACAGACCGATTTCCCTTCTGAGCCGCGTCTACGTGCTGTTTTCGAGAGTCATTACGAATCGTCTCGCGCGCAGACTTGACGACTTCCAGCCTCCCGAACAAGCCGGTTTCCGAAAAGGCTTTAGCACCATAGACCACATACATACCCTTCGGCAAATTGTACAGAAGTCCGAGGAGTACAATTTGCCACTATGTCTGGCGTATGTGGACTATGAGAAAGCCTTTGATTCCGTCGAAATTTGGGCGGTGCTGCAGTCCCTTCAGCGATGCCAAGTTGACTGTCGGTATATTGAAGTGTTGAAGTGCTTGTACAGTAGGGCTACGATGGCTATCCGAGTACAGAACCAGAGTACCAGTTCAACTCGGTTGGGCAGCGTTCGGGAAATTACGGCACATCTTCTCGTCAGGTATACCTCAAAACTTGAAAACGAGACTGTACACCCAGTGCGTGTTGCCAGTGATGACATACGGAACTGAGACGTGGTCCTTCACTGCTGGCCGGATGAGGAAGCTCAAGGTCGCTCAGCGAGCTATGGAGAGGGCTATGCTCGGAGTTTCTCTGCGTGATAAACTCAGAAACGAGGATATCCGCAGTAGAACTAGAGTGACCGACATAGCCCAACGGATTAGTAAGCTGAAGTGGCAATGGGCCGGCCATATAGCTCGAAGAACCGACAACCGATGGGGAAGAAAGGTTCTCGAGTGGCAGCCTCGTATCGGCAGGCGAAGTGTAGGGCGTCCCCCCACTAGATGGAGTGACGACCTGGTAAGATATGCAGGAAGTCGATGGATGCAGGTGGCTCAGGACCGTGCTTTGTGGCATTCTTTGGGGGAGGCCTATGTTCAGCAGTGGACTTGTGAAGGGCTGTAATGATGATGATGATGATGATGAATACTTATTATTAGTTAAACACTTACTTGGTCGGTAAAAGAAAGATATTGAAAATAGAAGCACTTCTCATTGCCACTTTTCATTAATAATGCTGTCGCGTGTCGCATGTTTGTAGATAGCAAAACATATTAAACAGAAAATGGTAAGTAGGTAAATTATCTGAATTTCAAAGACGTTGTTGTAATCGTTGTAATCTTAATTTTTCTCGATGTTGCATATTAAACCTTGCTCACATTGTTCAATAATGTTCTTATTATCAGCAAATTACTAATACATTGCATAATACCTTGGTGTATTCTAATACCCTTAGGCCGTGTTTCCACCTGCAAGAACACTCGCGGATGTCTTTCATAAGTTTCTTGCAGTACTGTTTACATATCGCATGAATTCTTGCAATTTTTTTTCTGCAATAAATATCTCGCGAGAAGCTCGCGAATCATACTATTGCAGCTTATCGCAGATGTGACACACGAGAGCTATAGCTTTTGCGAATGTATGTAGAGAATTCATATTTGTATAGATCATCGTGGCCACTTCGACTCTTGATCTTTAATTTTTTGAATTCATTCTGCCATCGACTTCTTAAATTATGTAATTTTCGGGACACTTCATTCTCAGTTGTAAGAGAACTCGTAACGGGCTAAGTGATAGAGACTCCCGCACGCGGACGTAAGATGCATTTTGATTTAATACGCGCGCCGCATTAATTTTTTTTGACCATTTAATCGGTAGCCTATTTTAACGAAGGTCGCTTCCGTGGCGTGCAAAGTATTATGAACATTAGCGACGTTGTAACTAGGTTTAAACTCGCAAGTTTGCTAGCAGATAATGATTCTTCTGTTCTTGTACTATTATTTATTCAGTGCTATAATGTTAACTGTCAAAATGTCGTCGATAAAGCAGCGCCCTTTAGAGCTATCGTACCACAGAACTATGCTAACAAGGCTGTAGTTTCTGAGTTTTATGAAAGTTACTATATTAATTGGATGACCATATTACTCTCACATAATATAATTAAAATTTTGACTATTATCACTATATAAAACTTGCTAATAGAAAACAATATCTTATAATTAAATACTTTAAATGTCAAATTGGAATATGTAATTATACAACGGTATTAACTAGCTTAGAGACAACTAGCTGTCAAAGTAGTACTATCTCTGAAACTAGAGAGAGTTAATGTCCTGTGTTTATAGGTTGTTAATTTATATAACTTACGTTTTTATATTGTTACAGTTAACATTATTACAGTTAATATATTTAAGTACTTATTGGATAAATATTTTAGTTGTGATTTTACTGTGGCATTCTCTGGAGTAGTTATATTTTAACTATAGCCTCCCATATTTGGAGATATTGTCGTCTTGTTTATGCAAGATGTAAAATATCTAGAACGGCGCCAAGCGTGATATGAAGCAGAATTTTCTAAGAAAGCAAATTCCTACAAGAAATGATGTTGAAAATATCCTTTTTATTGTACTTTTGACACCATCATCGGGAAAGGCTTCCGCGTGAGCCTATACCTAAAGCTAAAAACGAACCTACTATTTCGTAGAATACGAATTCTGAAGCATTATTAATGACCTAATTAATGAATCAAACTAAGAAAATGAAAGTTATACTTAACAGAAGCAGGAGAGTCTTTGGATATCCTAAAGTACTAGTAAAATTTGTTGTTTCAGATTATTGTTATAGTTGACAGAATATTGAGTTTTCCCATCACAAGTCCCGTGTCTCGCTTCCTAACTGGTCTGGAGTTACTTCGCGACAAAATCGAGGAGTGGAATAAAAACGCACACAAAGGGAATAATATGATTGACATTTCTCTGGCTGTTGGTCAGCAGATCATTAATTGGAGAAAACTGGAAATGTCTCACTGGAAGGAGTGCTTGAATAATTTGTATAGCAGGTATTTATATATTACTAAATCAATATAATATTGTGAATTTGAGTCATTTTAGTCTATTAAAATATGAAATTAGTTAATAACTTGACTAAAGCGCCATCTGTCGGATCCCAGCATGGCTATAAACCATTGTCTCGACTCTTGACAAAACAAACTCATTTGTGAATATGACCTGAAACGGTAATGTAGTTCGGTAGTTACATAATCACCAAAATATGCAACAATGATTATTTATGTAAAGAAAATTTGACTTGACAACTCATAAAAATCAATTGATTAACGAATACCCAATTAAAGCAGTGCAGTAGATTTAATAAGACTGAGACTTTACCTGGCTTGGATCTATTAATGTGACGTTATTTAGTTTTAAGGTAATCAGAGACCATTTATTTAATTAATTTCAATAGCCTTCAATTTTATTTACGTGTATATATTTATTACTTTATTGATTGTTATTTTATTAAATAAGTCCGTACTGGCATTGTGGTTCGATCTTAAATAGAACTATTATAGTCCATCTGCACCAATTAGTCCGACTAAATAGCGAAAGCACTAACGGATGCCTTATAAATAAAAGAAAAATAAAATCAATTTATTTCAGACTGAGCCCATACAAGTGACATAAGAAAAAAACAATTACATTATAATAAATTTAATCTCATTTAATTTAATTTCATATAATTCAAACTAATCTTATTAATTTAATCTTATTCAATTTAATTCAATTCAATATAACTTAATTCGAGTGTTTAACATAAAAAACTACTTAATATTAATTACTTGAATAATATGCACAATTTAATTTATGTATCTGCCTTATACATTTAACTTTAAGATTAATGAAAGTGTCTTTAAGGTAGTATTATATTTATTTCAGGAAACAAGCTGAAGCCCACAAATATTGGTTTTATTTGTACTCTGTAGTGAACTCGTATTTGTATGATGGTACTGATGTAACTGAATCCAAAGAAGTAGTGCCAGCTTCAAGAGTTATTTCGGTGCTGAAGGACTTCATGGAGAATTCAAATTTGGCTGAATATGAAGTGCGGCTAGATATTATATATGTATACCACTGCCATTTGATTCATCTAGAGCAGAGTCCACGGCGAGGTAATGGAAATTTCAATAAACAAAAATGTTTTCTTTTAAAATTATGTTTTTTTTTTAATAACATTTATATGACAATGAACTTCTAGTCTACCGAATGGTATGTGGCTACCGAAGCCTATGGACATTGCAATCAATTTCAAACAATGTAGTCTACAGATTTGTCACCTGTATGGTCTAACCCACAGCCTGTAAATATACACAACTATTTGGTGGCAGTAGGTAAGAGGATGATGATGGATGAATGAGGATATGATGAGGAGAACCTGATGGATTCCTTAGCAGACTAATTCTTCTAATAGTTGATGTTACTTGCACCATTATCGCTAATCCATACTAGCGATGGCCTCCATGTGCGCCAAAACACGTAGTAAACGTTAGGTGGCGGTATAACCTGTCCTAAAATATACAGACCTGCGACGTGCAGTGATTGTCAATACGCCCGCGAACAGTGACGTTTAATGCAAATCCTGTGATGTAGAGTCAGGCTGCAGCTATATTATGGTTGTAGCAAGAATGGGTCAGCTCGACCCCCGGTTCGAGCAGCTTAATGTTGCTGAGTTTCATATGGTGAGTGTAGAGAACCAGGTACCATTTTCACTGGTAACGAGGCATTTCATCGTAGTCCTCAGAGGTGACAACGCATCTGCATTTCGATTCTTAATCGAAGATAAAGGTCTTTGGGCCACCGCATCCTCTTACCATCAGGTGGATTGTGTGCTCGTTTGTCACTCCCAGTCCATAAAAAAGGCCTACATCCAGCTGTAGATCTTTACTGACTGATGAAGAAGAAGAAGATTGGTATTTTCCATACATTCTTAAATCTGTGTGTGCCTTGCTTAAAAATATATTTAGTTTATTTTTCTTTTTTTTCTACCGCTTTTGTAATTTCAAAATTTGTAATAATATTAATATTGATTACAGATGAGTTGTTGTCTATCTTGTGGAACACCTATAATTACTACTCCCAGTTCGCATTGCAAGTGGCAACAGTAATAAAGGAGAAGCGCGCCCCCATAGAGAAGAAACTTCGTGATTTTGTTAAGATTTGTACTTGGGATAGAGATCTTAGCTATTGGAGTGTTAAAGACACCGTCGATAAAGCGCATAAGGCACTGCACAAGCATACAAAGGAGTTTGAGGTAATTTGGATGTTTTGTTTCTCAATATAATTAACCGACTTCAAAAAAAGGAGGAGGTACTTAATTCGACTTGTTTTTTTTAATGTGTTACGTCATAACTTTTCTCTAGGTGAACCGATTTTGATGATTGTTCTGTTCTGGTGCTGGTACCATATAAACTTTATCAAGATGTGACCAGTAGTTTTTGAGTTATTTTTAATAATGCGTATTTAACTGACTTCAACTACATTGATGATATTCTCATTTTATTTATATTGAAGTCGGTTGTACAACATTTTTAATTTTACCACATGTAAAAAAATATAATGCCTAGTTGACAATTATTACTAACGGGATCGCGATTTTGTTGTAATCTATTTTGTATTTCATGTCCGCATTCGTGAATGTCAACTTGCGCAATGCAACTTGTGTGTATCCTATGTATATAAAGTATATCCTATGTGTATTATATGTATATAAAGTGAATACACACAAGTACTTTAATAGTATCTTTGATAGTCTCCTTTAGTCTTCTTAAATGTTATTGCAGTGCTCAGTAGAAATCTTAACGAAAATAACTTTATTACAAATATGCGATATTCCTTTTGATTCCGAACTTTGCCATTATTGCCATCAGCATGCCTGCTTACGCGCTTTCTTTAGCCACTGCATAAACTTCTGCTTTGACGAGATAAATAATAAAAGTGACGTGTCTCACCTAGTTTGAAGAGCATCTCCATCCTCAATGTCCTCATTCTCTATCACCCTCACTTTTATAACCATTTTAGTTATTTATAGGACGATCCTGACACACATCTCTCGTTTCTTTAACGTCAATATATCAACGCATACGTGCTCGTCGCTTTAGGGTGCTCTTAATTTTGACCATGTGACGATTTATTGAATATCGTCGATAACCTTCCGTCTAGGTCTAGGGCATCCCTTGCCGACCCTTCCATTCATTTCTGCAGCATAAATTTGCTTTGCCGTTCTTTCCTCATTAATTCTTTCTAAGTGCACAAACTTTTACTAATATGTAATAAAATTCCTGATAATATTCAGGCAGGAGTGTCAGTAAGTTTAGTTCATTACATAGTTCTCACAGTGATTCACGGGGTTTATTATAAACTAGCTGTTCACCGCGACTACGTCCGCGTGGAATTTATTACGATTGAATTTCATAGGTATTTATTTTTGCGCTGAACCTCTTCTAAAATTAAAGTAGTCTTTATACGTGATAGAGAGCCATGCCGCAGCTATATTAGTAGTATAGTTGTAGCACGAATGGGTCGGCTCTACCGAGGAAGGACCACGCTTCCACAGAATACCAGCGTAAAATAGCAGCTCAATGCTGCTGTGTTTCGTATGGTGAGTGTAGTGAACCGGAGACCCTTTTTACTGGAAATGAGGCTTTCCATCTTAGTTTTCAGGGATGACAACGCACCTGCATTTTTATTCTTAATTGTGGATAAATGTAGATGTCTATGAGCCGCAGCAACCACTTACCATCAGGTGTGACTGTGTGCTCATTTGTCACTCTCATCCTATAAAAAAAAGTCTAAGTGACTCCTTATAACACAACCAATCTGCCAGTGAAAGTCCCGTCAAAATCAGTCCAGCCATTTCGGAGATTAGCTGGAACAAACAGACGGACAGAAAAATGTTTTTTGTTATAAGTACCGTATATACTTTCATATGCATTTAATAAAAAGCTGTTATTTTGACATTACAGACACTTCAATTTTATTTATTTTTATAGATGGCTCTTATGGTGTGTTTGCTATGTTAACTTTACCTCCTAATTGACGGGTGAGGCTTTGGCGACTGAACAAGTCTCACAGATAATCCATGTTTAATGACTGTTGTTCACTGCAGATAATAAGGATTTCGTTCATTTCAGAGGGTGCTAAAGGAGAGCGTGTCTAGTTGCTTAGTGGATAACATGCCGGAGACGGGCGTGGAGCACGTGGGCATCTGGGACCGGCCAAAACGAGCGACCGGTGCCAACGCTCTCGCCGGCGGCGCCTACATGATCGACCCGCAGAACTACGTTGTTATGCCTAGGAACCTTAAGGTACGTACGACATACAATGTTCAATGGATGACTGCTTGGCCAAGGTGCATGGAATTTCGTGCTGAAAGTTTCAGAAAGATTAACATCGAAAAATGGCAAATGGCACCTTTATTAGATCCTAAATCTTAAATAGGAACCTATTTTTAATCTTTTTTTTTTAATTGTGTGTTTGAGAAATATCGATTACCTTTCAGAAATACCTCGATCAAGCCGAACAGCCATGCAGTATAGTGCCAGATGGGAGCCTCCTCTCGAAAATTCCTAATTTGCTTAACAAAGCAAAGACCTTGTGTAAAGATACAATGATCAACTCCGGCTATCCATCTCTAGTGCAAGCATTGGATGATTTCGTCACCCTCATTATAGAGACTAACACGCATCTAAGCTCTCTAGAGGTATTTTAATATTTTATTCTTAATTTTAAATAAGAAAAAAATGGCCTTAGTCAGTGCTAATAACATCAACTATATGGTGTTTTTTTTTTTTTACAATTAGGTTGATAATACCATGCCGAAAGAAAAACAACAGTCGCAAGCAAAGAATATAGTTCAACAAAAACGCAAGGCTCTTGCAGATCTCTTTAAGTACCTAGCCAAAATTGGTCTCAACTACCGGACTGGCTTAGTCATTTTATCAGCTTGCAATGATGATTTATACGACTTTACGATACCTCCCATCGATCTGGATGCTGCTATTAATTACTTGAAGAGCAGGTAAGAACTATGCATATTTTTTTTAATTATGAGAAGGGGCAAAGTAGCGTGTGACCCACCTGATGGTAAGTGACTGCCGCCGCCCATGAATAATTGCCACACCAAGGGTAGTGTAGGGGCTTTACCGGCCCTTTTCAAAAAGAGTAAGTTCTTTTCTTGAAGGTCCCTAAATCTTATTTGTATTTCAGACGCTGCGATATAACACTATCTTTGCTTTGGTCCGGATGTGAAAAATACTTCCAAAGAAATATTGCACGACACAGATTGCTCGCGGCTGCTTTGATATCTCCACATGCCGATCTAGGCATTCAAAATATCGAAAGATGCAAAGGATTCGCAGCACAATTACTGGTAATTTATATATCTATTTGTTTGTAGTGATATACAAACTTATTCTGTTTAATATCAATTTATCCATTTAGTTTATTGTGATAAGTATTGTCATCCATATTATTTTAAATCTGCAGAAACTAACAATTACGCAAAAGAAGTATGTTGCTAAATACGCGAGACGCCTCTGTGACTTACGTACTCTTGTCACAAATTTAACAGGCGCATTAGAAGCTGAGTCTGATGAGACAAACATATCAACATTAAAAGAGAAACTTATAATTCTCTCGGAGTGTTACTGTAACATAAGTATATTGCTTGATCAATTCTGTGTTTTGCTGCAATCATGCCCAGAGAAAACTTTGAATGATAGCTGTGGGCCAGAATTTGATGTTGTAGTTTCTGATTCGCCTTTGACCAGATGTTATAAAAACAGTGACGAATGGAACGCCCTTTATAGGTCTGTCAAATCTATTATTACCATAGTCGCCAAACAGAAAACAGCTCTTCATAAACTAGCAAGTTCCATTCCACAAAAAATAGGTCGATGCATTGGAGAATTGCCTACTCTATCCCAGTCTCATATTGATGTTACAAATGATGCTAAAAATAATTTAGAAAGTATCGTAAACAAATTAGCCGATATCAAACAAGAGTATCAGTTTGGACTAAAATCTTTGGTTGCCTTGGAATATACTCCGCAACATCCCATGTTGAGAAGTTTGCATAACTTGGACACATATTTAAAAGAAATAATAAAACAAATTCATCAATTAGATAAACCAGTTGACATAGATATGGACAGAAATAGTTGCAAATTAGTTAAAGAAACGGAAGATTTAATAGCAAGCATGCTTTTGATCATTCAATCCCTGTACAAAAAACATTTACCTGTAGACAAAAGTCAAGATAATATTGATGTTTTAAATGCTATTGATGAAATTATCGACGACAGTGTAAAGGATAAAGAAGAATCTAAAGAAATGCTTGAAGATAATCATTTAAAAGAATGTTTACAAGATAAACTTTCGAGTGATGTTAAACTGTTACAATTAGATGTCATCCTTGATAAAGTGCATAAGCTATTAACCAACTATGTGCAATATATAGCAACAGTGACAAAGACTGAAGATGTGAAAATTGCAGTTATGAGAGTAGTTCCAATATTGGAACAAACTATGTTATTTATCCAATATTTCATATCGCAAAAGGTGGCTGTCCATAGAGTTTCTTGCAAAATGCTCTCTGTATTATTGAAAATATTCTCTGATTTGGCTACTAAAGGGTGAGTTAAAGTTATAGATTCCTTTTTGTATATTTCAATTTTCTTAACAGAGTATTGTATATTGTAAATTATATTTTATGTCTGAGAATTGACTGATACTCCTAATTCATCCTACTACTCTGTAACATTCCTTTCTAGTTTGAAGCATTTTTTTGTAGAATTGTTGTATTAAATTTAAGTGTGGATTATATACATACATTTTTTTTTCAGTTTTTGCAAACCATCCGACTTGGATATGGAAGATGGTGAAGGAGACGGTCCAGGGAATTTGTCTACTGGTATGGGACTCGGAGAAGGTGAAGGTCAAAAGGATGTCTCCGAAAGAATTGAAAACCAGGTAAAATGACGACTAGTAGGATTGAAAATTGTTGTATGTTAGGGATCACCAGCTCACTCCTACATAGATGTCGTAATTTAACTACTAATTTTTTATAGAATAAGGGTAACAAACGAGCACACAGTCCACCTGATGATAAGTTGATGCTGTGGCCTATAGACATATACATTTATCCTCAATTAAGAATCAAAATGCAGATGCGTTTTCAGCCCTGAAGATTGAGATGGAATGCCTCGTTTCCAGTAAAAAGGGTCTCCAGTTCTCTACACTTACCATATGAAACAGCAGTGTTGAGCTGCTACTTTAAGCTGGTATTCTGTGAGAGCGTAGTCTTACCCTGGTCGAGCCGACCCATTCGTGCTGCAACCGCAATGTAGCTGCAGCATGGCTCTACCACGTGAAAAATTAATTTGTTTATGTGTAATTTAAGCAGTATTTACTCAATGACTACTACACAAACAAGTCTTTCCTTATAACCTAGTAAACTTAACATTTTAGAAAAAAGTATAAAATCATGTTGAATTAACGGATGGTAAATTGTAATCAATTCAGCAGCTTATTTTTATTTTGAGATATATTCTTATGAGGATGATGACGTTAATTTGTTTAAATAAGTGTGCATATAAAATGGTTCCTTCTATCTTTGAATAGGATCAACTAGACGATGCACAACGTCCTGGTGAAGAGAAAAAGGAAGAGGACAGGGATTGCAAAGAAGAAGAGAAAGGAATAAATATGACTGATGATTTTGATTCGCATTTACAAGATGTGGAACAAAAGGGTATATCTTTTTAATAATTGGGAATGAACAATACTATAAAAGACAAAACATTTCTATGACCTAGCTTTAAAAATGCATATGATCCATTTGTGATTTGATGAAATCAATAAAGTTCATTAGATTTAGTTAATGTTGAAAGGATTTTAAAGCAAGGAAATGTCCGCCGCCCTGTCCCAATGTGTGTCGGCGGACTTCACATATCTGCAAAATGTATTTATTTCCTCACCGCACCGTAAATCAGCATTTATTATAACCTTTACAGTAAACAGATGTAAAATTTTAAAGGAAAAAGAAAGAATTTTTTAGAATGAAATATTTTTTCCATAATGCTTAATAAGATTTATAAATTATCTAATAGCATGATTAGTATATTTTTTACATATAATTATGTATTATATTTTTAAAATTGTTTCAGAGGATAACGATTCTGACCAAGAGAATGACGAAGAGGACGCTGATAAGCAAATGGGCGATACAGATAACGCAGCCGAAAAGTGCGTGGTTTGAATGTTTATGTTTCTATTCCTATCTTATTGGGGAGTATATATGCCATAGTTGTCAAGCTTAGAAAGCGGGTTGGAGTCGCAGTTTTTTTTATTATTAGACCCGCTGAAACAAACATAGTTGAAAGATACAGGTGACCTAGAACCGTGGTTTGTGGCAATCGATGGTAGAGGCCTTTTCAGCATATGCTAAGCAGAGCTTGCTATGGGCTGTAATAATGATGATGACGAACGATGCTTGTGAATGAAATATATCCTTGTTGTTTTACTACTAATTATATGATTGATTGATTTGATGATTTTTAGGGTTAGAAGGTAGTTGTGCTAAAGTTAAAAGTTAAAGTTACAGCCTATATACATCCCACTGGGCGTCTCATTTCTGAGAGGGTTTTATTTATTATTTATTTATTTAACAATTTATGTAAGTACATACAAAGTAAAGTTACAGTGAAAAATAAAAAAGATATTTTGTACAAAGGCACTGCTTATTTCATATTGAAATTTCTTCCAGCAAGCCTGATACTGGACCAATTCAAAGCGAAGCGGATTTAGATGCACTCTCATAATAAATTTTATATAAAATTTATTATACTTAATATAAAATAAAGATAATAAAACATACATACACACATATAGGTCATTGGGACGACAATGAAAGATAGGAAGAGAATTTTTTTTTTCATAAGCACACTTATAATATACATATTAAACATTAACACTAGATTATATAACAAGTAACACGCTCACTGATATGTATATCAATAACAAGTGTACATAACATTTACCAAAAAAAAAAATACATGTAAACATTGGGAATTAACAAAAAAGGAAAAAAGAATTCCATTATCTAATTGCATATACTGTAAAAGAGTGAGAATAGAAGTTAGTTCTGGAGAAAGTGAAATTTAGGAGGGTTTTTAAATGTGATCTGCAAACTGCATCGGGGGAATGAGAAAAGCGGAATCGATCACGTAGATACGGTGGTGATGTTGTATGTTAAAGAGAAGGCATAGGATACGGGTATTCCTGCGAAGTCAGCCACTTGAACTGTTTGCGATAGGAGGAGACGTGGTCATACTTTTTTAGGCCAAAAATATTAACGAATACATAAGTTTTGCAAGCGCTCAAGTTTATTCAATTGCTCCTCAGTCGCATCCAAATAACAGACATCAGCATAATCAAGAATAAATAAGTGTTTGGACAAGATAAATTTTCGTTGATAAAGGCAGAAAACTTTGAAGGCATTTTAAGGAATGAAAAGTATAATTAATTTTCCTGCTAATTTCTGTGATATGTGCATTCCATGTCAACTTGCAATTCATGATGATGCCCAGATTCTTAACCGTTTCTGAAATGCTTAGTGGAGTGCCATTAATTTGCAGTGTTGGGAGTGAAGTTAAATCAAGTAAGCTAAGAGTAAACCTCGGTGCCTATAATCATAGCTTACGATTTTTTAGGGTTTATAACAAGTCCATATGATCTAGACCACTCATAGATTTTATTTAGATCTTTATTTATTTCAAACATTGCTGAATTTGCTTCAGTCACTAGAAAATGACGATACAGCTGCAAATCGTCTGCATAGAGATGGAAGTTTGAAGATATCACCTTGGAGATACAATTAATAAACATGGAAGAGAGTAAAGGAGAAAGGACGCCACATTGAAGTACATCCGTAGCTAGGTTGCATCACTTAGATAAAGTTTCATTTGAACGAATACACTGAGGACAGTCACGAAGGTAGGAATCAAACCATTGATTAGTTGAAGGAAACACATTAATAGAATGAAGAATGCTGAGAAGTATATCGAAATCAATAGAATTGGCGGCACTACTAAAATCTAGCAGCACAAGTACTGTTAAATATTTTTGGTCTATACCGCACTGGATCATCCGTCACCTTGAGGAGAGCAGTAGTTGTATTGTGGACAGGCCTAAAACCAGATTGAAAAGTATTTAAGATATTGTTACGGTTAAGACACATAGCCAATTGTGTGTGGACAATATGTTCAAACACTTTTGAAAGAAATTGTAGAATAGAAATAGTCCGATAATGAGTTGTGGATGAAGGATTCGAAACTTTGGGTATAGGAATAATATGAGTTAACTTCCATAACGACGGAAAGCAACAAGAAGATAAAGAGAAATTAAAGATATGAGTAAGATAGGGATGACAAAGGGAAGAATCAACGTAATCATTTTAGAGCAGATGTTATCATTTCCAATAGCAGTAGATGAAATTGCAAGGACGGATCGCTTAGTATCATCTTCAGTAAGAGAAGTGAGATTAAACGAGGAATAATGAGGAATTGGGCGTTTGGATAATTCAAGTAGGGTTCTGGCTTTAATGAATGATGAAGCTTTGACAGGATAGTTGGTAAAATGTTCGTTGAGAATATTAATTTTAATTTCACTTCTCACACTAGCAGGATATTTTCCGACACCGACAAATCTCAGAAAACTTAAGGCTTTTGCAGTATCGCAACTTGTGAGAGTATCATGAAAATAGCGTCTATTAGCATCTCTACACAAATATTGTAGCGATTTCGTGGTATTTTAAAGCTGATTAAATTGCGCTCAAGGGGATATCGCTTATAACTTCTTTTAGCTTTATCTCTACGCGCCATCGGTTCTTTTATATCAGCTGTGATCCATGGCGCAGGGTTGTGTCTTATTTTCACACGTTTTACTGGGGCTTAGAGAATTAAAGATAATCACCCTGTCCTCAATGTAAGAACAATCAATAACCGGTGTCCAGTTGATTAAACTAGCATCGTCCCTCAACGTCTCCAAGTTGATGCCCTTGTAACTTCTAAGATATCGAAAATGTGTCTAGCGCTTAGGGGGACGTACACGGTAGGATAGGTAAATGAATTCGTGATATGTTTAGTGTACATGTGTTAAAATCCCCCATCAAGATTACATGGCTATATACAGGACAGAAATTATTAAGAAGTGTGTCTAATGTATAAAAGTAATTGATATTAAGGTTAGGACTATACAAGAATCCCAGAAAATTTATATAGGTTTTATAGGGAGAGGGTACATTTTTTTAGGGTAGGTTTGAGTTGTGCTTATATTGATTATTTTATCGATCATTACTAAAACTAAATACGTCATTTGTACTATAAATATAATATACAAATATACATTGATATTTTTACGAAAAAGAGAGAAACCTTTAAAACTGAAGTATGCAAAAAACTTTTTAATAGTTATTTATAATTAAGGTATTGAACACACACACACACACACACACACACACACACACACACACACACACACACACACACACACACCGATAAGCGTCGCTCTTTCTTTTTAATTATGTATAGATAACATAGGAAAACCTGTAATAAGGCTTATGTTAAGCTAATTCAATCGGATGTAATCTTTTTTTTTTTAAAGCTGTTGGTTTTCTAAATAAATAAATAAATAAATAAATAGTATTAAATCTTTTCTGTGCGTTTATTTTTAATAAGTTGTTAAAAATATTTAAAAAAAATCATAGTTTTAGTCATAATAATCCATCTCAACCATAACGTACCTATAATTATCATCACTATTATCACAAGCTATCAAATTCCACTGCTGAGCACAGGTCTCCACACAGATTGCCTCATAAGGAGGATGTTTGCTATAGTTGCCACGCTTTGGTATGTGAGAAAACTATCTTGATAAATTATCATAGAGAATAAGCGAACTGCGGATTGCATTGCAGTCGCGTAGCTTGTGAATATTTCCATGTGAGAAAGGCATTAGATGGATGTTTTAAGTAAAACCAGAGTGATTCATAGTTTTGAGAATCAGTTAGTGATGAGTAGTTTCAGAGTAAATCACTGTTGTAGAATCTTCTTTTGTGCCAAACATTTTGCTGATTAGGCAGGCAGGCGATTGAATTGCATTCCAATAAAGGATTTGACAAAGATCCTTTTATCCCATACGTTTTATGTTTATTCTAACGATTGAATCATATGAACTTTACAATTTTTATTGTAGACTAGACCAACAAATCTGGGGATCAGAAGATGAGGAAGAATTGGACGAAGAACAAGAAAAGAAGACAGATAAGGAAGAAAAAGGGAAAGGGGAGAGTACAGGCGAAAAAGAAATGGGTGCCAAAGAGGAAGAACAAGGTACTGATGATGGAACTGATGGTAAAGAGAAAAAGCAGAAAAAAGACATTAATGAAATGGATGAACCTGAAGTTGATGACGATCACGTAAGTTCATAGTTAATATAATTTTCTCACTGTTGTTGTTGTTGTTGTAGTATTTATTCATTTTGTATCAGGGCTGCATCTTAAAGGGCCTGTATAGAAATTACGGGTGGATAAGATTGTATGCAAATTTACGAAAATTATGTAAAGATTAATTTTTAATTTTTAAGTAGGGTTTACACTTGCAGTATTGTATTATTATTTAATTATTTAAGAACTATTGATATTCTAGCTATTTACATAATCATGTCTCTGAAATACGTACTTCAAGCTCTAGTGTTCTCTTTCCTTGTACCAAAAATTATTTTTGTATAATAATGTCTTTCTTTTTGCAATGTAGGTTATATATACTTATTTTAATGTTCCTAAGTAAGTTTCGAAGAAAAAGAAAGTTTATTTAAACCTATTCTGCTTATTTGCGACTTAAAATATAAAGAAAATAGAATTAAGACAAGTGTATCTCATACTTCCAGATTGACCCCTATCACGGTAAGGAACAACAATTACCCGAACCAGAAGATTTCGAGCTACCAGAGAATATGAATGTCGATGAGGAAGATGGGGAAGAAAAGGTATTATAATCAGATATCCTGCCTTCATATAATTGCACGTCTTTTAAACAGGAAATGGAGGTCAAGAACTATAAAATTATATGCAAATATGCAATATGATTTTTCCTTCTCAATATATTCCTCTCGGACGGGTCCATATACGATAATTTTTAGATCGGTTAACAACAGCCGCCGCAATATATGACGGGCGCGTTATTATGCAAAAGCAATTATTATGCAAGGCCTTTGCATAATAATTAAACACTAAAATTCCTAACAAATTGTAACTACAAATTTTCTTCGCCTACCTTTTTAAAATATGAAATTACACTACGGTTGTCGTATAAATGTTACCCCGACAGTTCCTAAGTAGCGAAAAATTTACGATAGTATTTTTATCGTTTATATGCATTACTGGTAGAAAATTTAATGAATATTATATTATTAGCCAACGTCCCGTTGGTCGAGAGGTCGTAAACGCGATTGCTGGTCATGAGCTCCCGTTTTCGAATCAGTCTCCCTCTCTCTCTCTCTCTCTCTCTCACACACACTCTCACTCTCTCTCACTCTCTCTCGCTCTCTCTCTCTCTCGCTCTCTCTCTCTCTCGGTCGGGCCGAAATCAGTTATTGGGTTTTTCTGTCAAGAAAGTCTCAGTAGCAGCCGGTCTGGTGGAAAGTTAGACGCTGCGACGAGTCGGCATTTACCCGCTTTGGAATTTATAACGTGCACAAACAATTCGACAAGACAGCCAATTCGGTGATAGGTGGATAGGTCGCGGTTGACCTGTGAACTGGCCGGCGAGATCACCAGACCTAACACCTCCAGACTTTTATTTGTGGGCCGAACTAAAACGATAAGTGTGCACAGAAGAAGCCAGTGTTAGAGAAAGTTTAACAAACAATTTACAAAGATGTGCTAGTTTGTGTTTAGAAAGAAACGGTAGACATTTTGAACTATTACTGCGATATCGCTAAAAAAGTAATTTTTTTGTAAATAATAATGTAGTATAATTTTGCAAATGTCCAATAATTGTAGTTTGTAAATAAGGTGATTTCGATCTTTTAAATACGCCTAAGATGTAGTAGTATTAGGTAGGCATAATAATAATTATTAGAAATATGAACTCATTACAATGCAAGATAAAATTTAACACGTAATTAGCCCGTAAAAGTATAAAGGAAAGATCGAAATTACAAAAATAATAATCCGAAACGAAAGGTTTTTGGTTGCGGCGGAAATGCATTCGGTCGGCACGAATGTATGTCGCAGCCAGATAAGAAATAAGACGTATTAATAAACGCCTAGTCGCAATGCACATCATGTAATGTATCAGCTTTTTGCGTTTTACAATGCGGCTGATAATGCTGAATTTTAAGTTCCATGCATTACAAAACTAACAAATGCAGCGGGTTGTCTTTAATTCTGCAACATTCAATAGCGCTTTTGCATTGTGGCTGGACATTTTGTCGTAAAGAAAATGGACTAACTAGTCGTTCTGTAATCAGGCTAGACATTGTCTGCCGTTTTAGTCAACGTATCGTAACGTCGTTTCGGCTGAACGTCAGTAATCTGCATTCGTAAAGGCGCCGTATAAAAAAAAAACAACTGCAAGAATTACGAAGGCAAATATTGTAGATAGGTCTTTTTGAATAGCTGCCCCCACTCGGCTGCCTGGCGCCGATATAACGATGAATGCCGAAAGAACGAAAGAAATGTGCATGCGTCTCGCTCGCGCTACAACTTAAATTCACTAGCGATCGTAACCTACGCCATTTAAAATAATATCACCTATTTATAGTTTTACTTTTACGTAAATGCCGTAGGATGAATTGCATTTATATATTTTTTTTTTTTCAGAATTTTGTCTATCAGTTATATTTTACAAATACTTTCGCGGATAGCTTCTATTCCACTTAGAAAAAACACCATATTATTTTCCAGACGGTAAAAAAGTCACTCAGTATATAAAAATCAATTGCTGTCCGTTAGTCTCGCTAAAACTCGAAAACGGCTCGAACAATTTTGATGGAATTTTTGGTGTACGTTTGAGTCCCTGGATGCATATTTCAATTGGATCCAGTAGGTGGCGCTGTTAATCGAGATCCAGAAATCACCCGTGCGAAGTCGGGGCGGACCACTAGTTATTAAATAAAAACACAACATGCCAGGGAAACAAGTAGTAAAGCTTATAAAAATTACTTTTTTCTTGGGTCAGTTCTTAAAATCGACAATAGTGCAACTTGTTGCCCATCGCACGTAAAACTACGAAAATTGAGCTGTTGATAATGTTTTTTAGGATGAGGGTGAAACAGAAACTGAAAATCCATTTGATGTTGATGTGATGAAACAAGCCATCGCAGAAGAACAAGAAGAAGACAGTAAACAGAAGGAGGAAGAAGAGAAGGGTAATAAGAATGGACTTGAAGTATCCAGTGATGAAGACGATGGTGGCGATGAAGATAGACAAGATGAACAGGTTAGATTTACACCTAGAGTAGACACATTATAAATTTTCTTTAGTTTTTTTGTAGTTTTAGTTCATCTATGGTGATTTTAAATATAGCAAATAGGTTAATCTAAAGTTTGCTTACTAGTTCTAGTGTAAATCATGAGAATGGAATTTGAAAAGCAGTCTTCTCAGGCCGATATTTTAAAAATTGCTTTACTAGCCTCTATACCAAACAGTTTTTTTTTAGTTAAGATAAATATGGCAAATGTAAATTTGTTGTTAAATAATAAATACCGTGTAGTAGTGTAGGTGTAAGAATATCAACTACCCCATATTGTTCCGTAGGTGTCATGACAGTACACGCACTCTTATTTGTCGACAGAAATAGGAAAGAGTGTGGTGACTACCCAGACGGACTCCTAAGGAGTCCTGCTACCTAAAAACGATCTCTTGGCCGGGGTACCCCAAAGCCAGCTCCTTCCGCTTGAACGTATCCAGCGAAGGGCGGCGTGAATCGTTGATGGCCGACTTCTTTCTGACCGGCTCGATTCACGGGCGCTACCTAGAGAAGTTGTGTGTGTCTGTGCATTCTGTCAAAGAAATTGTTCGAATTAATTCATGCAAATGGTAACATTATTAAAATCCTTCTTGAAGAGTAACGTGATGCTATTCTGCCCATCAAAAGCCACGGATTATCAAAGTCCACCCCACAAAAGTTCATCCACAAAAGTTTTACCCCTTAAAATCTTCTATAATAAGTACTTTAAACAATGATCAAATTGTAAGTAAAAACACGTACATAAAATATAAAGATAGAATGGTCAATTATGTTTCTGTGGTAGGGTCAGATCAACAAGCTGTGTACAGTGATTGTCTGACCCTTATAACATGCATCATCAGCTGTTAGCGTTGTGTCGCCAGGTGCACCAGAAAACTAATATAATTTTTTTATAGGTTTCTAATTAACTGTGTTTTGTAATAAAATTTATAACATTTTGTTTATTTATAAGTAAAAAATTTGATCTAAATATTTCATATATGGTATAATATATAATATCACTTCACTTGCGTAAAAAGTAAAATAAAACTTAGCCTGTACCGTTCCACTGCTACGAACTAGTCTGCTCTTTTTTCAGAGGTCACGGGACAATGAATCCGTGCATTTCACCAGTGTACTTACATGTTTCCACACGATGATTTTCTTTACTGCCTAGCACGTGACAAGTCAACATTTAAAATTGCAATTAATTTTTTTTTATTGGTGCTAGCGTACTGTATATTGTATATTAGTAATATTAGTAACGCTTTTCCTTAATAACATGTATTAGTTTAAAGCTTGTCTTTATAAATATTGTAACGATTTCAAAATGGTGTAAATTTTACCTTAACCTGTTTGATTTTTTATTATTAAGGATAATGAGAATATAGAAAATCAAGAAAAGGATGAAGAAATCCAAGATGAAGACAAAGATAATGCTGATGATGATACAAATGCTGAAAATCCTCAAGAAACTGAGGAAGAAAAGCCTGAATTGAATGAAGACAAAAATGAAGATGACCTGCCGAAAAATCCAGATGACATAAATGAAAAGGATAGTGCAGAGAAAAAAGAACACGAAGCAAACCCCCAAGCTAATCCATCAAGCGATGATCCTTCTATGGGTGAAAGAGCTGAGAATGCTGAAATGGATCGCGGTGCTAATGATAATGTGGAAACTAATGCTGAGCAAGCCAAAGACGAGGAAGCAGCTCCCTATGTAAGTGTTTACTTTGACATTATTACATAACAAAAAATTATTAGAAAAAGAGATTTAATTATGAAGCAATAGTGTGCTTAATTTTTCCAATTAATATCCAAGTGAAGTCATGTATTGAATCAATGGACAAAATTTTTTCATGGAATTTGAAAGAAATCTATTTTTATTGCACGCAACTGTTCTTGTTAATAATAAATGTCGCACCCGACATCACGGAAGCGCTGCTTCAAGTAATTTGATATATAAACTGCAAAGTATGATTACTAACATAATAATTCTTGATTTAAAAGTAATATCAGATTTTTTTATTGCTTAGGAACAAGCGCAAGAGCAAGTAGGCGAAGATAAGCAATCAACGGGGCGCTCTGAGCTAGACAAAAGTGACAAAGGTCATCGTGGGGAGAAACAAGCTGCCAAAGCCGACACTTCAAAAGAAATACAAAAGCGACATGAAAATAAACCCGGAAGGACAGATCATGAAAGGACCTTAGGTATAGCTAAGAAATTATTATGAATATTAGGGAGTGAGTAAAAGTCACTAGTATGTAGAGAAAAATAGGGGACGAGACAGAAATATATGTTTAGAGCCAATTTTTATAGGTTACTAAAAGAAAATTTAAAAAAAAATTGGTGACAATCGGACTTATAGTCCACTCGAAGGTAAGTGGCTCCTGCACCTCATGGAGACCTGCAACAAACTTTAAACAAAGAAGGCTCCAAATAAAATGAATGAAATGCTTATAATTATACTGGCTCTCTATACTACCTTATGGAACACAGCAGTTCAGGCCTCCCCCATAGATTATCTGATAGGGGGATATTTGCCATAGTTGCCATGCTTGGCAAGCGGGTTGGCAACCACAGTTATTTTATATTTAGTCTTTAATAGGAAGACGCTGCTACCCAAATCCTGTTTTTTTTGTGATTTCCTTAATAAAAATATGATTTTTTTTACAAGGAAAGTTGACAAATGGGCACACCGTTCATAAATTTATTATGTGGCCTATAAAAAGCTACATCTAGCGTAAAAATCAAAGTGCAGATGCATTGTCACCTGTCAACATTAAGACGGAATGCCTCATTTACCAGTAAAAATTGTTTCCGGAAACAATGCCGCATTGTGCTGCTATTTTACTAATTAGTGAGCGTGGTCTTCCTCCAGTCGAGACGATTGATTCGTTCTGCAGCATGGCTCTATCACGCATATATTATAATATTCAAATAAGCGTCGATCGTTTGATAAATAATAAACAATTACTGTCTTGCAGGAGAGGTAAATGAGCAAAAACAAAAGAGAGCGCGTACTTTGAACGTGGAAAAGGAAGAAGAAACTGCGGAAGAGAGCGGCGAAGCAGACAATCAGGCTGATAAGGAGGCAGATGCGTTCCAACACGTTAAACAAGCTAAAAAAGACGATTTGCAGGTATTTATTATACACGTATTTAGCCATATAAGTATTCTGGTTTTTGTTTATTGTATTGCTAATCTAGTGTCTCATCTGGTCGACGACAGCTTATTATGTGGGTTTGGGTTTGAAATCGAAAACCAGTTATTGAGTTTTTCTGTCGAGAAATTCTCAGTAGTAGTTCAGTAGTAGTAGTACCTCAGTTCTCAGTAGTTTTATACGTAGTAGAGCCATGCTGCAACTATATTGTTAGTATAGTTGTAGCACGAATGGGTCGGCTCAACCGGGGAAGGGCCACGCTTCCACAGTAGAGAACCGGAGACCTTTTTTACTTGAAAAGAGATATTCCATCTTAGTCCTCATGGGTGACAACGCATCTGATTCTTTATTGATCCTATGAAAAAAAAACAGCCTGGAGACAAGAAGTTGGCGGTGTTTCATCCCTGTGCCTCGGAGAGGAGGTTAAGTCTTTGGTCCTGAGCCTGATCTCTCTCCCATCGTGTCGGATTACCGTCCCATCTAACTATGAAGGTTAGGGAATAGAGGGTGTATTTGTGCTTGCGCACACAATCGTACGCTGTAACCCTGTCCAACGTAGATAGCTAGTCTCCGTTGATAATGGCGTCCATAGTCGAAATTCGGTTTGGAGGACATTACAAAAAATAAATGGCCAAAAATGAATTCGCGTGATGAGAGTAAGAGACTAAAGTGTGCTCCTGTGTTTGTGGAGGATACACTCGAGATTTATTATCCTGTTCTGCACAGATGGCTTAGTCTCCATTGAGACCGAAATTAGGTCGGTATTATTATTACATCTTTATATGTAAAAATTACGTGTCACGTTGTTTGTCCGCGGTGAACACCGAAACTAATCAACCGAATTTAATGAAATTTTGTAAAAGTTAGGATAGTTTTTCTCCTGGTAAGTGACCCTCAATATTTTTTATTGCGAATTTAAAGATTTTTTAAATGACGAAGGGTCGTTGGAAAGGACAGAACAAAGCCCGCCTGGCCAGCTAAAACTTTTATATTATATGCCTACGTAAATTGTAATTACTTGCATTATTATATTTTTTTTTTGAATAAGAGCCTACTAATGTTATATGATGATCGTAATGCTGCTGTGTTTCGTATGGTGAGTGTAGAGAACCGGAGACCCTTTTTACTGGAAAAGAGGCATTCTATATTAGTCCTCACGGCTGACAACGCATCTGCATTTTAATTAGCAATCGAAGATAGATATAGATGTCTATGGGCCACAGCAACCACTTGTTGTGGTAGATCATGCAAAATTATATTCGTTTTACAGGCTATTGATGCAGCCACTAAAGAGCAAGCTGAACAACAGCCAACATTGCAACAGGAAGAAGAAGAAGCCGAAGAAATGAAGGACAATGAGGAAGTGCCCATGGAGGTCGATAACGATGATATACAGGTAAGTTGATAATTTTAAAGCTATAAGTATCTCATCATAAAACTGATTAACACATTCAGTGCTATAACTTCGCATGTATTGACTTTAAACAATCCAAAAATTCCTCTACGGCTTATTAACTTCCTTCTGCGTAGCATTGAAAGGAAGTTAATGGTTTTAGCTGGCAGTCTGTTAGTCTGTATGCCGACACGATAACTTCCGTTCCACTGGACCGATTGACTTTAAATTTGGTATGTGGATACCTTGAGGTAGTAGCTCGGTCGAGTTTGAATTTGGGTCCTGTAGGTCAAAGGGCACCAGAGATATGGGATTCACGCAGAAGGAAGTTGTTTTTCTTGAATTTACATTCAACTCGTTAAATAATAATAAAATTAAAAATTAAGAGAATGTGGCTTAAATTAATTAGTAGAATATTAATTAAACGTCGATACAGGATTATATTTTATATTACGAAATTATTATAATATATAATTCTTATAATTTTTATATATTTTAGATTATATATTATATTATATTTATAAATAATTAGTATTTTATACGTATTAGCTATTTTTTTAAATATGCAGCAGAATAATATAATGTACTGATGGCAAAAATGACTGAGTAACTAACTACTTTTCTCAGCTGTTTTTGCCATCAATACATATAAGGGTGCGAGTATAAGTACACCTCAATTCAAATGCGGTTCTTTATAGCTCTTTACATTTGTCTATGTTATCGTTATCTGTGTACCATCTGTAAGTTTATCTATTATAGAAAGAAAAAAACCTTTATAAATTTTAGAAGTAAAAATTAAATGATAGTTTTCAACTATTTTTAAAATACTTCTTTACAATACTTTGTGTGAATTAATTATACATTTAACAATTATTGCAATGATTTTCTTAATACTTTATTAGTGATTTCTTTTATATATTTCGTTGCAAGTGTTAATACAGGGTTATTTTTAAAAGAGTAGCCAAATTTTAAATTTAAGTGCAAATATATAAATAATGATATACCGTTATTGCAGTTTTTGAAAATACGAGTAAATAAGGCTCGAACATTTATTTGAAAGTATCCCAAATTGAATTTGATTTATGGGTAACGAGGTTTTTGCCTACGGATCGACCCTTACGAATGTGTGTGTGCACAGTAAAATCACTTAAAATGATGCATTATCACGTATTTCGAATTTAAAAGATATAAAGGACACAATGTGTGAGATTTTTTTTTAATTAATTTTTTTCACCATTTGCCTATTACTTATTCTGAACCTTCCCTGCTAATTTGGCCGGTTATTTCAAATTAATCCTGTACATATATTGAGTCAAAATTATTGTGGCAAAATTTACTGTTTGTTCGTTGAACGTGCTAGTAATAAATATTATGTAAATATTATGCAATGCAAATTTTAGGTTGAAAAATCTGAGGAAATAAAACCAGAAAAAATTAAGGATGGTCCAGAAAAAGACCAAGAGAAGACAGGAAATAAAAAAGATGGCGGAGAAGAAACAACTGGAGAGGCGGGCATTGAAGTAGATGGTGACGCTGTATTGACTGCCAATGTGCCTCGAGGCAGGGAGACGACGTATCATACAAAGTAAATTAATATTTTATTTTTTTTACTAGATATAATTATTAAAGGACTTAAAGGTTCATATAATAATAATAAGGGGTTGAAATTTTAAATATTCCAAATTAAAATTTATATTCCATTGCTTGTTTTTATTCCGTGAGTGTTACAAGAGGTGATTATGGACAGTTTCATAAAGATTATATGGTTTCTAATAGAAGAATGGAATAATATCTTATTTATCCTAGACGTAATACCCAAATCGATTACAGTGATACGGGGAGTTGTTTAACTCCCAGCAGTAGTTCAAATAAATGTCATACTTTAATCATTTTTTATTTGCCCTAATAAAGTGCGCTAAAGTGTAATATAATGCTTTTAAAGCGATTAAAGAAATCATTACGTAAATGTCATTGAACTATAACCATTTCAGACTAGAGGAACAACAACAGCAACAGCTCGCAGAGGATATAACGCTGGAGCAGTACATGAGCATACGCGAGTACCTCAGCAGCGGTCCGTGCGGCGGCGGGCAGGCCGTGGAGGCGTGGCGCGGCGCCTGGCGGGACAGCGCGGCCGCCGCGCGCGCACTGTGCGAGCGCCTGCGCCTCGTGCTCGAGCCCACAGGTCGCTCGCGACGCGCCGGTAAGTCGTGCTGCTGCCACCTATGTACTCCTAGTACTTGTCTAGTAACACAGTGGGACGTGGCCAGAAATTGGTGCGACAGCCGAGAGGTCGCTGTGCAGATGATGCCTACGTCTCGTGTTCGAGGCCTACCTTCCATTCGCAACGTGCCTGTAAATTCTTCTGCTAGCGCCTTATTTAGTGTAAAACACGGCATGTAGCCTCGTTTGTACCACGGTGGTAACTGCACCTCGTGTTCGAGCCCACCCACCAGCTGTCGGCCGCTCGAGAATGGACAGTTTGTATTGCTACCGCCTTATGTACTCCTGGTACATTTAAGACTCGCTAATGCCGCAGCGGCAACCTGATTACGTAGCCAGATAGCGTGAGAGCCATGCGGGCGCTGTTGGAGCGACTACGCCTCGTGCTCGAGAGACCATCATCACAGGTCGCTCGCGATGTACCGGTAAGTCGTAATGCTACCACCTTATGTACTCCTGGGACTTCAAATCTCGCTGGTATCACAGCGGTATCTGCGCCTCGTGCTTGGGAGAGTCCACCGGCCGCTCGCGACGCGTCTATAAATCGTACTGCTGCCGCCTTATGTTCTCCTGGTACTTATAGATTCGCTAGTACCTCAGTGGCAGAATGAAAGTGTGGTAGAGACAGTGTGGTGTAGTCGTGTATGGCACCAGCGTCGCTGCAGTACCATTATAGATATCAGATAAATGCTTCAGAAAATAACAATATATGGTTTTCAGGTGATTTCCGTACCGGGCGTGCCATCAACATGCGCCGCGTAATCCCGTACATCGCGTCGCAGTTTCGGAAGGACCGCATCTGGTTGCGTCGCACCAAACCAGCCAAGCGCGAGTATAAAATCGCCATCGCTGTCGATGACTCCAGCTCCATGGCGGACAACAGAAGCAAGGAACTAGCCTTCGAAAGTCTTGCGCTGGTTTCCCAGGTCAGAATCATTTGTCGTTTTTTATACAATAAGAAAGTAAAAACAGTAAATAATATTTAATAAAACCTGATACGAAAAGCTACTTAACATGTTGTAGTTCCATATTTTTATTTTTTATTATTATTAACATGAATATCAATATTTTAAAAAAAAACTAGATTACCGGCAAACTCTTATTTATTTCATTTAGGATAAGTGTAAGGGGGGGGGGGGGGGGGGAGGGAGGTTTGTGAATTGTGACCCTCTACATATAATTATTGATTGTGTAGGATGTCGATGTAGGTTGTATCTACGTTACGGGATGTGGTAATTAAAACTGTCCGATTCCGTAGAGAACGTTTATTATACTACCAATACTTATGAATAAAATGTAATATATATAAATACTTATGAATGTAATTGCACTGAACCTGTCGCGCGCGCAGCCGCAATATCAGCATATTTCCTAAACTAAACAAATACCATGTACTTGCTTGTACAATAAGAGTGTGAAATAAATTCCTTGACATTCTTCGTCATCTTCATTGAGCTTTTCGGTTGTAGAAAGGGTATGCCTTACGTTACACTTGGCAGGCGGTAGACGATGGCAGTACAGACAACTTGCACCTTCGACACCCCATTGCCGGTCTCGAGTATGAAAACGCGATACTACGTTATACTGCCATTACTAAAAACTACCTATCTATACTGTACTATCGTCAGACATCAAAAATTTCTAGCATTTCCCATTAGGCGCCTTTTACGATGATTGACTTTTAGGATGAAATACAGTAATGAATTCTTTTAGGCGACCACCACACGGCATTTGACTTTTATTTTATTTCTAGGCTATATTGCTAATAAATAATTTTAAATATCTAATATTTTTAAAATACTCCCAGAGTATCAAAGGAGTATAGTCCGGTCGCAAAGTACAAGGAGTTTCGTACAATGACCTTTGTTCCAAGTATCAATGGTCAAAAACATTTTTAGATAAAGTACACATCTGTAAGTAATAAGGAGAGAATGACAATAACAAATTTTATGTTGTTACGACAGCTAGTTGCGTTGTGTATGTCGTTGCAAGAGAACATTACCGAAGATGGCCTCTGTCAAGTTGATAATATGTGTAGGCATAAAATAGGCAACGCTCAAACCATTGATGCAAGCAAAACGCAACCATATGTCTACATGCAGAAAGCCAGTTGACCTAGAATTTTATATATTCCTTTATTAATGTATAAATGCTTAAGCCGGGGATTGGAGAAATAATTACTTCGGGTACGCGAAAGTGAACCCTACTTCAGGAAGCGACTACGGGCAATCGACCTACGACATCTGTGATTATTAAGGACCTCACCTCACTGTGAATAAACGAATACGTTCATTTCTCATCCTAGTCGCACGTTATAATGTATTTATATTATGCTTGGTCTGACTCCGATAACTTACTTAAGCCCGGTTTCCACCGCGAGCGGAACGGACACATTAATTACTCCTTTTACCTCGCAATACAAAACTGCATACATGTGTTTCCACCAACAAAGAGTCGAGTGTAAATGACAACGAGGGCGAAAAGAGTAAAAATGAGCTGCGGACTCGGACCGGAGTCATTAATGAGTCCTTCCAATTCGCAATTGAATTTTACAAAGTAGTGTTTCCACCGAAAAAGAGTTGAGCGGAGCGGACCAAACGAGTAACATGTGTCCGCTGCGCGCCGACTAGTTTGAAACGGACACGCTCGACGCTGTTGTTTTTATATTTAAATTTTAAAATGTCGGTCTTTACAAATGACAAAAGTTCTTGAAATTGTTCTCTGCTAACCATGTAATAGTTCTTAAATTTTTCGTCGACCAAATTATTGAATAGCCTATATTCCCTTTTCAACGTTTTTTCTCGAATGTGCCGACATAACCAAAATCTCCCTTTTGCACGTTGTTTTCTGTGCTTAAAATATAATAATATATACTTTTTCTTTCGGCATACATAATCATTGATTCCGTGTCTAAACAATACCGCACGTAACCAGTTTAAAACTCCAACTGAACTCGCTCTCAGTGGAAGTTGACTATTCATTTCCCATTTCTCATATTCTGTTCAGCTCGCTCCGCTGATTCCTCTCTGTCGTTATCTGTTTGCAGTGGAAATCAACAGGCAAAATTCTTTGTTGGTGGGAATGCAAACCTGTTTTGTTTAAAAGGAGTCCGTTCCGCTTACCATTTCTCACTCATTACCCTTCTGCGGTGGTAACCGGGCTTTAGTTTAAATTACTAACGAGTCGATTCCTTTTACTTAAACGTGTACCTATTTAGCATTTTGAAGTAAGTAAATAAAACAATAATCAATTTGCGCTTTAAAATAAATATTTATATAAAATCAATTTGTTTCGGTGTCCGAGGATGTCGCAGTTTCACCTATGGCATTTATGAATCGCTAGTTATCTATTTGATTATTTAAAATATCGAGTATTTCGACGTGATGAAACACATGCCACAGACTTAACCTCAAAAACTATTTAACCAAAAACTGAGTTATCACCAGCGTATTTCAATACAGAATGTCGCTAAAACTTTAGTTTATAAATAAATAACAATGTTAAGACAAACCAAAGAACACGTGCACAAGAACAATCCTTGGTATGGTCAAAAGGTTTACAATAACTGATGATGGCGGTCACTGTATATGTGCGTACGCAACGGTAATATATTTAGGTGCGAGTGAGTAAAACAAGTAATGACGGGTCATTGTACGAAATTCTTCGTGTTCGGCGACCGGACTTTAGTGTACCACTAACATTAAAATTTCTTGCAGGCGCTAAATCTTTTAGAATCGGGAGACCTCGCCGTTCTCAGCTTCGGCGAGAAACCGAAACTCTTACACCCGTTCACTGAACAGTTCTCTGAGCATTCTGGTGCGAAGATATTGGATCAGCTTCGTTTCGACCAAACGAAGACAAAAATCGCCCAGCTGCTGGACTTCTGCACCGTTCTATTCGACCAGCAGACGATAAGGAGCGATGCGATCAATGCTAAGTTGCTGGTGATCGTTAGCGATGGAAGAGGAATATTTTCCGAAGGTGAAACAAGGGTTATACAAGCTGTGCGGAGAGCGAGACAACAGGGCATATTTTGCGTTTACGTTATTATTGACAATCCTGATAATAAGGTGAGTAGTTGATATATTATACATATGTTGTATTTTAAAAATATGTCCCAATATTTATTTTCTTTGCCTTACTTTTTCTACACTTGAATTATTAATGTATATTTATACCCAGTCAAGCTCAGAAAGTTTTTCTAAACTAAAAAGTTCTATGGATAACGTTTTTGTATTTACGTCTTTTTAAAAAACTCCACAAAGTCTTATTCATTACAAAGTTTCATGCGTCTCAACCAATTTTTGAAACACATTCGCTTTTTTCATTCCACTGGGTCACCTTGAGGTCCGATGATGAAGACTGTTTGCACGTTTGTCACTTTTTTATAAAAGTAAAAATAATGAAACTGTGGAAAATATCAGGACCTTGTTCTCGAGGTGATCAACATGTGTTGTAGTCATTTCTGCAAAAGAGTTAATCCCTATCAGCCTTTAAAGTTATCTGAGGTGACTGGGACTCATCAGTGATCAAATGCAGAAGGAGGTTCTCCTCGATACCGCCCGCATCGTCAGCCGGTTTTTTTCCCTTTTTCCCAAAACCTCGGCTGTTTGATCTCTCCTGCCGAGAGCTTCCATCTGGTTGGGTTTTATTTATTTACAGTGGAATCTCGATAACTCGAACCTTGTTAATTCAGGATTAGAGGTCATTGACGTTCCTAGTCTTATTTTTAAATCGCATTGTACCTACGTGGAACTTAGTCTCACATGTAAGAAGAATCAATATTCAAGTCATATTATATTTCAGTCATCAATCATCGGCTCAATTGGGCAGTTAACCCTTTAGATGATTGTCGCCATTGAAATAAATGTCTAGGCTTCTAGTCGAATTACAATTATGTCCATATCGTTTAACGTATGGGCTGTCGCAAGTTGACTTTCGATACACCTGAATCACAGACACTAAAGGTCATTTTACATGATAGTGTCAACAAATTATTTAATTCTACGGATATAAATGGTGACTTGAGACAATTTTGCTAACAGGGATTCATGAATAAGCCTTACAAATAATCCAATAATTAATCTGTGTAGTCCCAGACCAATACATAGGATAACCATAAATGTTATTTTTAAGAATTATACAACAACAATTCTAAAAAAAAATTATTAGAATTAGTCTCGTTAATAAATTACGAGAAATTAGATTATACGAGCCTTATTATTAGCTACTTTACTATTAGAACATTGGCTTCGCAAGTCGATGTAGTACTTGACTACCCGTGTAGATGGCGCTGTTACAGATTTCTACCTTAAAGTTGCTAAGTTATTTGTAAACCTCTAAAATAGGAGTATTCACCTATTGATTTTGTATCTATCTATTGATTTCAAAAAACAACATATGTTTTTTCTCAAAAAACAATTCTGGAACAGCGCCATCTACACGATTTATGAAGTACTACATCGACCAGCGAAGCCGACGTAGTTCTCTGCAAATTTATTTAATAGTTCTATTATGCCACATAGGCTCCATACATTACTTTATAGGGCCTGGTATTTGAGTATCAAAAAAAATATTATTGAATGTGGCCTGACCCTGTGGTCTGGCCAAATTCAATAATATCTTCAATAAATCTGACGTAGTTAAACTTGGGGAAAAGAGAAAATATTAAATAACCGTAGCTGTTCCAGTTCCAAAAAAATAACAGTGAAAAATCACTGTGACTTTGTCACTTCGATTACTCATTAGACATGAATAAAAACGTTATTTTGCAACACCGTGACCGTCGTTCCGATTACAAAAAAGTCATAGTGAAAAAACATCGTTACTTTGTCACGATGATAACGTCGGATACTTGGAACATTAGAACTATTTATAACGTGACCTTATTATGCATTTTATATTTATTAGGTTATTAGGTTTTATATCAGTAGTTGATTTTTTATTAAATTCCTTACCTAAGTTACGTGGTTATAAGTACCATTTTAATTATGTTTTTTAAATATACGAATTTCACCTAACTTATGTCTCAATATTTTTTTACAGGATTCCATTATGGATATAAGAAGACCAGTGATAGATCCAGTGACAAATACTTTAACCGGCTTTATTCCTTACCTGGACGCGTTCCCATTCCCGTTCTACCTTATCCTACGAGACATGTCAGCTTTGCCTAATGTGTTGGGAGACGCGCTGAGACAGTGGTTTGAACTGGCTGCTAATGTATCTAGCTAACATAATATAATTATCTAATTATGTTTTCCGCCTCGTTCATTAAGTACAATTTATTTGTTACTATTATTAAGAACAGTTAGAGGCTGTAAATACTTTTCTTCAGTATATCGTATACTTTATCTGTTGACATTATGACAAATACTGTTATTTTCTCGAAATATTTTTAAAAATGGCCAGTATAAATCAATCAATCATATTAAAAAAATACTATATTTAAGCAATCGGTTTAACACAAATGTTTCCTTGTTATTATTGTTTTACAATACCAATAATTTATTCCATAAATAAGGAATGGTGAATAATAGTACTTGTAAAACAACAAACATAATATGATAATTATAAACTTGACGGCATTATAACTCTATATGTATATAACTAAATTTTTAGATTCACTATGGCGGTAAATCAAACTCATGATCTGTGATTGATATTTCCTATTACAAATTAAATATACCTCATATCGATTATGTATTGCTAAATAACCGTTGTGTAAAGCGTACATGACGTAATTATTTTTATTGTTCTGAGGTGTAATTTGATCTAAGAGGGAGGCTAAGTCACAGAACGATATTACTCTAAGAGTGTATATAGATTATGAATAACGTGTGACTGATTATAAAGCAAATGCTAGTTTTTTTTTGACATTATGAAAATTTTATTTGAACGGAGACTTTAAATGATAGAGAATATTGTTAGCAATCAACTTAGTTTTTTCTTCTTAAAAGTAGTTTCTTATAACTCTTTAAGTATTAATTTTTATACAGTATATAGAAATAAAAAAGCAATATATATATTGTCAACTTGAAAGAATATAATTGCAAATAAATCTTGAAATATATAGCGTGTTTCTTTTATTGACTGACTGACATTGGATGCAACTACTACTGTACTTTTATGTTCCATAAAAATAAAATATATAAGTAAATGTAACAAGAATTATATTATGTACAATTATATCATCGTCATCATCATTTCAGCCCATCCACTAATTCACTGATGAATATAGACCTTCCCCACAAAGTAGGCTCCTGAAACACCTGCATTCATCGGCTACCTGACTGCAGGTAGTCGATGCAGGGGGCTCAACAGTTCACTATATCGAGATGGTTACCCAAAGCTGCGCTTGCCAGTATGAGGTTGCAAAAAAACTATATGAAAGAATTATATTTTTATTGGTTCCTTCTGGTTTGAAGGTAAATGTTATCATTACGCAAGTCGTTTATTTAAAAAAATATTTTTTTTTATTTTATCTGCGAGTCGCTATGCAGGTCTAGAGAGAGAATGAGAGAGAGAGACCAAGTATTACTGTGACCTAAAAGATGTATTTTAATCACTGCTATGTCTATAGCTCACTGCTAAGCCCTTCGTCCTCAATGAATAGGAGTTGCTTAACTGTGAGCAATTTCTCTTCTTCTAGAAGTTACGTTTGCGCATTAAGGGTCGACAATCAGTTAGGATTGTAAAGGCATTTCTTCCTTTAGGGAACAAAACCGGCACAGCCTTGAATTGTTTAGCCCCAGGATGGACATGTGCTTTTTAAGACAACAGTGTCCAGTCAGGGCTCTTATCGGAATTAATTTTTACATAATGCTAAGGGGCTTCCGAAGCGAATTTACGATCAAAAGCCCGGATTAAGGTTTTAGAATGTTTTAAGCCTGGTGTATCAGACCAGATTTTAAGTGATTTATTGTGGACCCGGAACCCATCTTAAAATGACCCTGTTGTTACCTCCCAGGGCGTTTAGACGGTTCACGCAGTCTCCAACTAGCTTCGTGTTAACCAAGTTTGATCTCAGCGCTAGCAGTGCTGCTTCTAGAGGTGAATCTACCTAAATTCATACTAAATTTGAATTTGGGGCGTTCCCCATAAATTCTAGTTGCCATTAAGCAGGCAGTCCTTTGTAGACTAGTCTGTCCGCATTCGTCCTTTGGTTGGCCTTATTACACCAGACAGTGGATGCGTAGGTAAGGATCGGACTCACTATGCCGCTGTACAGCCATAGGATTATTATACTGGGACGCAAGCCCCAGTTGTTCCCGACCAAGCGACTGCACGTACCTAAAGCAATTTTAGCCTTATGACATACGTTGCTAAAGTGAGAGTTCCACGTTAGTTTTTGGTCGATTTTTACGCCCAAGTACTTAACTTCAGTGGAGAATGGTACTTTTTTACCATTATAATATTTTGGTGTGACTAATTCGTCTAACCGTCTCTTTTTGGTAAAGGGTATTATAAAGTTTTATCAGCATTAATGATAAACTGTTATCCCTACACCAGTTATTTATGGTGTTTAGGGCCCTTTGTATGATTAATGATGAAGTACTTTGGCAAAAGCCTCTCGCAATGATCACAAGGTCATCAGCATAACCCAGCGTGTCAAATGCGAAGGTCTGACATCTTGTACAATAATTGGTCAAACGCAAGAGTCCAAAGGAGCGGTGACACAACAACTACTTGTGGACAGCCTCTTGTAGTTGCAACCTCAATCGAAGTTTGAAACCGCGCTATTTTTGCCTTTTTGTTTGAGAGCATCGACTTCACCCACCTGATGGTTGTAGGGTCAACATTTTTAGATGTCAGGCCCCAACCAGCAGAGATGTGGGGCTACTGTTGAAGGCGGCCTCAATATCTACAAAGGCACAAAGAGCTATTTCTTTATCCTCCAGCGCTTTTTCGACCCTGTCAATAATACTGATACTGCACTATAAATATCCCATTCTTTATTTTTTTTAGCCCAACTGAATAGTTTCCTGGTCTTTTCCCTAAGCTTTCTTAGCCTAATGTTCCACTAATCAACTTTTCGTGTTGAGGTCTTGGTTTTGACGGGACAACTGTCCTCGAAGGCTTCACGGATACCTACGGTTACTGTCTCCGTCGCTAACTCCAGACCTTCAGTCGTTTTGACGATTATAGGAAACGTTTCCAAATTTATCCTTAGGCTATCTCTATAGACATATCCCAGAAGGTCGCTTTTGGATCCCTAAAAGCAACAGTTTCATAAGTTGGTGATGCTCCAATCACAAACTTAATGTGTTGGTCACTTGTAAGAGAAGGCCAAATTAGCCTCTAAAAATCTTGGCGTGCTCAGCAGAGCGGGACAGTAATTCATGCCGGCACACTGCTTGCAACTTTACAAGGTGCAGGTTCGACCTCACGTGGAATACTGTTCCATCTCTGGGCGTGTTACCTCTAGGCGTGTGGGCCTCTACATCGGGGACCGGGTAGAGTGGAAGACGTCGACCATGGGATGCCCTCAAGGCTCTGTGCTGGGCCTAACACTATGGAATGTGATGATGGATGACCTGCTCCGTCTCCCTCTGCCCGAGGGAGTAGCCATGACTACCTATGCCGATGATGTTACAATCTTGATTGAATCGGGAACGAGAGCGATTATCGAATCCAGGGCCAGATTCACCCTGGACCTTGTACGGGAGTGGGGGCTAAGGAATCTACTGAAGTTTTCCTCCTCAAAGTCGACCACCATGACTGTTAGAGGGAAACTTCAGCGCCCCTCAACGCCCCCCCCCCCCCCCCGTTATTAAACTTGGTGGGGAATCTATTAAGACTGTGACCAACGTTAAGGTATCAGGCGTGGTTTTAGACTCGGGACTATCGTTTGTGCAACATGCATCCGATATCTCTGAAAGAGCGACCAAGGGATTCGGCAAGATGTCCCGCGTATCTACATCATCATGGGGTGTACGATATCAGAGTTTAAAACTAATTTATAGAGGAATGTTTGTGTCCACGCTTACGTACGCGGCAGAGTGTTGGTACGAGCGTGCAAACACGTACACAGTTCATAGTAGTGTTGCCCAAGAACAAGACTTAGCTTGCGAGACTCTTGCGTCTTGCAGTTAGGACTAAGTGTCGTTTCAGGGAGTATAGGAGTTCGGATATACGCTTAGGGACTCTATGAGACGCAAAAAATATAATAAAAAAAAATTGGAAAATTGGACTTATGCGCATTACGAACAATACCATAAATATACATAGCGAATGAAAATATCCATTAAAAGAAAAAAGAGTGCATCCCTAGTTGTTTTGACCATCGGCACTTTGATGGTGCGCGGCGTCTTGTTGTCGGCGTCATCAAAGGTTGGATACTGACCTGTCAAAGAAATTGTGCAGCTATTCGAAAGTACAAGGTCAAGATACACGTGCCGGCGGCTACTATTGATATCGCATACAATCGTCGCCGCCGCGCCACACGCACTACATTTGACACTGTTTGATTGCCGCCACAGAGTACATGTTTCAAAGAATAAAATAAGTTTCCGGGTGCTCAGAATGGACACGAATACATTATCCTGATCTCGCAAGAAATCTTGTAATTAGATAATAGGTAGGTATCATAATAATTTATTCTAGTAAGTAATTATTATAAAATTAACTATATGGATTTATAATAATTACTTACTATTATTGTTATTATTATTACCTAAAAGATAAACATGTTCAGAAAATTCACTGCAAATCTCGACTTTTGCAAGTGTGTGTTTTTAAAACACAAAGTGCTCTAATATGTCGTCACACATTTGATAAATATGGTTGACACCATAGCACTTTTAAAACACTTGAAATGTGTAAAAATGGATCTGGATCTTGTCTTCAAGGCTTAGTTATTAAGGAGTTGGAGGGGTACCTAGGTAAACCCAGAGCCGTCATCTCGGAAGACATTTTAGACTGTTGGCGGACGCATGAGACAAAATATCCGATTTTATCGAAGATGGCCCGTGATTTTCTTTTAATACCTGCAACTTCAGTACCTGCTGAGAGATTATTTTCTAAAGCATCATTAGTAATTAGAAAACATAGAAATAGGTTAAGTGTTAAATTACTTTGTATTAATGCTTTGTCAAAAGAATAAATATAAAGTAACAGTAATGTCAAAGCTGTTGTGTACATACTGTGAAGTAATTTAATTTGCATCGTATTTTATTTTTTATTTAAATAAATGGTATATTGTATAACTCTTTTATTCCATTTCATATTATATG